TCCAATAATCAGTACTTGAGGATTTTTTTGAATTTTCACGACAATTCCTCTCTCCTTAAAATTAAAATTGTTCAGATTCACATTGTTTTACAAGTGGCATAAAGGGTACCGACATTTAGAAATATAATTCTACTGTGGAAACAAGTAGTTGCCATGGTTTATAACTAAAATTTGTTCCATTCAATCAACAATATCGAAACCGTAGGGAAAATGACAAACTGTCTGGTTTGAATTATTTTAGTTTACTGCCACTGAAAAAATAGACAATGATGACTACAATTTCGAAGATGCGGGTCCGCGAAATTGCATTTCATGTATTTGGAACTGAGCTCTTTCAAAGCTTCGAAAATAAATGAATCATTTCCGCGTTCAGCTGGCTCTGTTGTTTAATCTAGCTCAGTCTTATTTTTGCTTTTATAAAAATCCTTAATGGTAATGCCCGTCAGCGGATTATATGTCTCTTAAAATTACTTGTTGTTAATTTTAAAATGAATCATCAATTCTAATGTACATATTTGTATTTAAACTAGCGTACGTTTGCATTATATTCTAGGACGCTGACTCATGATAAACCCTTTAGGCCTAGAGTTACACCTGAATAACTAGTTAATTCCCGACCGTGCGACGAAATGAAAGCGAACAGTACAAAACTTTTGTACAGAAAAATCCTTTGCCGGCCATAAATTCACCGCCGAGTCGTTATTAAAAGGAAAAACGTTGCGGTTTTAGCATTCATTACTTTACTTAATTACAAAACATGAAATTACAGGAAGCTTGAAAATACGCGAAAAAGATTCTGTTACAATGTTTTTTTCTTGTTGTTTTTGTTTCCAGTCTAACCTTTTCAACATTTTATTCAAACTTGCAACTAGCTGAACAACTTTTCCAGAAATGGAATCCGCTGGTTAACATTTCTGACATTATGGCAAAGAACCCATAGAAACTAATGATTCTTTATTAGTTTCAGAATGAGGACATATTTGCATTTTTCGTAAATTTTGGTTTGCTTGAAAGGTACTTTAAAAGGATCGTAAATATTTGACCCTGTCAAATTTTCATGACACATCCATCTTTTAATTTCATCATGGTTCCATTTTTCCCTTCATAATTTTTTTTAGCAATGACCAAAAAGAATACCGTTTCAAACAAAGTGTAATATTCCTCAAGGGTCTCCTACAAAAAGTGGACATTAATCGAATGTCAACTGTATATTCATTTTCCTCAAACTTCGATTTGAATTCGTATGCAGACTACTTCCTTGAATACTTTATCGTTTACCGAGCCAAATCATGAAGATTCATTCGTGGCAAGATATAGTTTAAACATGAACAAACCCAGTGATGATGCCCAAAGAAATGTATATCTGATATATTTATCAATAGGTCAACATGACAAAAATTAGCAATGTTCGTCGTTATTATTTTTCCATGAGTTGTGAAGGTAAAGTTCTTTCAATGTTAATATCATATGGATAAAACTTCACGTCCAATTGTTGGAATCGTTAAGTTGCTTTGCAAACATTGAAAAGTCGTATTTGAGTGAGTTATATGTACACTCACCTTGGTCTTCGCATAGTACTTCGAAAGGAAGAACCGCCACGCACAGCGTGAACACCACAAAGGCCAAGGAACACATGGAAGAGTCTTTTCTAAACTTCTGTTTGAATTTGTATTTTTGTACTCACTGGAAAACTGCCACCTGAGTTTGCAAATTTCTGAACGGGATTGTCTGACGTTTAATGAATTCCATGTACTCCTATTGTGACAAAGTTGACCGCGAGGTTAACACAATGTCTGGTTACTAATTTTAAAAGCCTTGTGCCGGAAAATAGGTACTTAATATTCACAGGAGATATATGATCCTACAAAAGAATCATTTAGAACATACTGGGCGGAATGGAAGGCATAATGAACTTTAGTGATATCAGGGCAATTTTTTTCCGTCGAAATAGTCATTAATTGTTCATATGGCGAAAATGTGAATTTTGTTTATGCTTGATAAGAATTACAATGCGCTTAATTTTATCAGGACTGTTTCAAGACACGAAATGATAAAAATTCATTTAGATGCTACCTCTCTTCATTTTTTTTATCATTCCAAAGTCTTGGTTTTCATGAATACAAAAAAAACATTTCTCTTACTTTTACAATGGGCTCTTCATGCCCTTGCCAAGGCTTCTTGAAATACTAATCACATGACGTCGATTTTAATTTTCACCTCTATGAAGTGGCGTTTTACCTTCACCTGCGAGTGCTTAGATATCTTTTAGGACTGAGTGTGTCATCTTTTGTTTTTTTTTTTTCTAAAGAAATTGAAATTTAAATGTTTTAAACCAGCAAATTTCTTTTTGGTTCAGTCTGGCTCAGTGGGATGACATGCACGAATCATCTGCTGTCATAAAATGTGTTCCACAACGGTTTTTTTGTTTCCTCCTTTATCAATACATCAATGCTGTCGAACTAGTCACAAAATTACACCATTACTCAATTTATACGAACTCTAGCGGCGGAAGAAGCTGTTCTACTGCTAAAGTAAACTAAATCATTCAAAAGCGTGACATATGGCCATTTTTGACTGAAATTTTATAGTAGTTAAAAACTTTTTGAAGAAACTCTTTCACTGCCCAGCTTTGTAGCAGATCAGATGACATAACTGTCAATGCTAGATATCTTATACGCTTCTTAAAAGCCCTTCGTCGCTTCTCTCTTTTTCGGTGTATAAATTACACGATGTACCCTACAGAGTCTTTCTTCATGTTTTTAATAACAGTTTCGTGAAGAATTGAAGATTCAACTAACTTTATGGCAAGTTTATTACCTTCATATAATAATTCACCGTTGCGAAGTTACTAGAAGAGATTATGGAATGATTTAGTTTACTCTGGCAACATGACGCACGTCAGTAAAGACCAGTTTAAAGTACTTTCGAACAGAGAAACTTGAATGATTTCAAAGAGCTAAATTAAAATAAAATATCTAGCAATGGTTTTCCTCGTTAATCTGTTTGGATGGATAATCTTAATCCGATGCAATGGTGTGGTGGTTTTGAAATCATTTGAATTTTCGCTTTTTACAATCAACTAACCAAGGTTTATCATTAATACTTTATCACCTCTGTAGGTTTCATTACTTACATTTGGTGCGGTTTAATCGAGACAATATCCCGCTGGGTTATAATAAAGCAAGCGGAACTTCAGCTCGGATAATCTTAAAACAAATCAAGCGTTTTTCTTGCCATCCTTTCGTTTTTCTCAAATCGTTTGCTTTTGTCCGATTAGATAAACAGACAATGTTTTATAGCGACGTTTATTTGTGCATGCGCGTATACTCCCCTTTGGTAAATAAAACATCGTCTGCATGCGAATGTCTGGTGGCTGTTTTTCATCCAACAAGACAATGAATATTCAATGCTTTTTGATAACATTAAGAGCGTTTGGTGTGATGCAAAATTCCGGAAAGATTCTCCAGTAGCACATGAAAAACACGGCGGACAACTTGGAAAAGCAAGAATGAAGCCTCACCGCTTCGTGACTTTTGCCGGAGCTGTAGGTAACGAGGGCGTGCGTCATTACAAGACTTTTAAGTCATCCTCACACCACGATTACTTTAAAGCACATTTGCACAAGTAAACTACTAACACTTGGAGGTGATAAAACATGAACGGTGACACACGACGTGATAATGTGAGACTGAGATAGCAAAACGTTTCACATCTTGAATAATGCGGCTCCAATCAAAGTATGGTGAATTTAAAAGAAAAGATGTACCGAAGAAAGAGACCAGCCGAGCGTGGATTGACAAAACTAAGCTACGTTCACGTCGCCTGAAGCAAGATCACTAATGGCAAAAAGGGCTGAAGTAATTGATTAAATAAAGTCGGCATTAAGAAAACTTTTAACTGGCTCTTTTTTTTACGTTTCACGGTGGACAAACACAAAGAAAAAAGTTTTCCCGAAATTATTGATGTGATGTATCGGGTATTTTAAAGTCACGGAATGCATACCAAGGCGACAACAGCATCAACATCAATTCTTCACTATTAAAAAAGAGAAAAGGAAAGCAACCACTAACTTAGCAGTCATAGACAGCACTTTCAGCCCGATTAAACCTCCATTATTAGCCCCCTTTTCTATGCAGGAGCCCGAAGTCATCAAGTTGCAAAATGTGCAAAACAAAAGCACACGAAGCAGAGCTACGTGTTTCACTGATGTACTTCACATATGACGCCTTCTGTGATATATTACTGAACGAATGTAACACAATATGAGAATTTTTTGTGATATAAAAGGATCAGCTGAGCAACTATGCCGTTCTAGGGGAAGTAGGGATGATCGGCACTAACAAAAACTATCCCATCTGCACAGTCGCGCCTGTTCAGCAAAGGATTGCCGCAGCGGCAAAATGAGTGCACATGCTTGTAACTCGCGAGAAATTTATGCGAGCAAAGGAATGGGAACTGCAATATTTTCCAGCACTATCGAGGCAAAATGGCTGCATTTTTTTAAAATTCGTATTGCATGTTCTCATTTCGCGGGGATAAGTCCAAATCAAAAGAGATAAGGTTACATTTTTCAGGGAAGTTTTTGTCAAACCTCCTCCGTCACATATCTCACTCAACAAAAAAAAGGACTGAGTTAACAGGTGTAAATTTAGTGACTGAAGTTGAGCAGCCGTAACATATATCGTAGCACTTGTTATCGCTTTAGTGCTTCTTGTCATCGCCTCCTCAGTAGGCAAAATTCCCTGGAGAAGAGTTTTTTTTGTCTCGGCGGAAAACCCGCTTCAGCTCATGTTTGCAGAAAAAAAACTCGTAACCCTGAAGGCTAAAACGGCTTGAGTAGCGCTCCGGCATTTTGTCGTGTCCTAATGGGTCACAGATGATGTCAACATGTAGTAAGACCGAAAAAATGGCACACAAAGAACGGTAGAGTACGTCACTGATATTCTTACATTTGACGTCTGCTGTAATCTATTCCTTAAAAGACACACGGAAACATAGGATCTATTTGTTTTTTGTATTATTGCGGGCAAATTATTGTCCATGGTGACGCTATCTATGCGTCTGTCTTCCTCTAGATCATAAGTACAAACCAAAAAAAACTCGTTTATAATTCAGCTCATTATATAAAAGCAACTATTGTTGCTCTCAGTAGATCATATCAGGAGATTGAAAGAATTACAGGCATTATGCAATTATTACATTCAGTATGATATTTTGATAGATGTTTGTAAATCTTGTTGGATACTACCATATAACTAAAAATTTTGCTTAAATTTTCATCAACGCTTTTTTACCTATTTGCCATTCTTCTTGATGGTCTCGCCTGGTCAAATCTTTATAGCATTGTGCTTGCGCAGTTTTTCCACACTTTAAGGCTTCACTGTGCAAATACAGTCTTAACAAAGTAAAGTCACTATTTAATTCGCTTATTGGCAAAAATTTGGGTCAAGTTCGCCACAGCAGCCCAAATTCGATACAAACTGATTAAGTAAGACTATGTAAAGTACAGGGGTGGGAGATGGTCTCATGGGGTGAGGCTTTTACTTTTTCTAAGCCTTAGGCCAATTTATGGCTAACGGTTAATATCTTTCCAAAGAAGTCATCAGATAAATTTTTTACGGTTTTATTTTTTTTACGACGAACGGTTAAACTTTGTCAATTCTTATGGTTAACGGCTGAATTTTTTGGCCGGTTTACGGCTGACGGTTAACCGTATTGATACCCTCCAACAGGGGGTGCGCAAAAAGACTCGCTTTGTCGAAATGTTGACGCTTGCCGCATCTACCACGCCTTGTTTGGTAACCTTTCCCAAAAACTCGCTACCAAGCATTTACTTAACTAATTGTCCCGACGCCAACAGTCCGTGAGAACAGTCTTCCAGGGTGATCAGTATACAGCTATTCTATTTCCATAAGATTTGAACGTATTGCCCATATTATTAGGGCTAGCAGTCATGATACTAGGATTCTTTGCCTTAATTTGGGCAGGTAACACATCCACCTGGCCGCGAGACCACTTTACTCTATGCCTAAGTCAAAACAGATCTAATGTTTATTTTAATCGTACTGGCTAAAGCGCATGTCATTTACGAAGCAGTTGAATGAGTTCTATTCGTCGACCAACGGTTCAGGGTTATCGATTGATAGCATCTTAAAATCAGACCATAACTTCGGTGCGCGCAAAAATATCGCAGCAACTGTTACTATACCACAAATTACTGCTATCACAAGGAAGAACCGATCCAGAATCCTTGCGACAAGAGTCCACTCCCAGTGACGTATGGCCAACTCGTCTTCGCTTAAGGCTTCATTGTCATCCATGTAAGGCCGTGCTTCCTCTTTTTTCTTAAGCTGATCGTCCAGCGTTTCATTAGAGCTCTTGAAAGGATATTTGTTTACACCATAATTGAGCTGGATTCCAAGATTTTCCATTTCTGCACCTAAGGACTCGGTATTGGAAGGACCACAGTAAATGGTGTCACCAAATGTTACGTTAAATCCCTGGTTGTGCTGGTCTTTCATTTCCTCTTGTTTCTTTTTGAAGGATCTTTTGCAAACGTCGTTAATAATGCTTTGCTGTTTTCGTCTTCGGCTTCTTCTGCTGGATTTTCGTCGCTGGATTTTTCTTTTCTCCGGAGTATCCCTCAGGAACACTATGGTTGCCATCCACTCTATGACAAGTGTTCTCATCCATCTTGGCATCCTACGATTCGTCCGGTGATAAAAGTTCAAAATCGTCGTGGTCACCACAACCGAGGCACCGATCTCCAAGATAATAGCAAAGTAATACTGACCCAGGATAGGAAAGTCATAAGATGGCATGATCTCTGAGGTAAGTTGCTGGAACACAGTCATTGCCAACAACACGGTAATGCTTAAACCGATCCGTTCTCCCGATTCAGGTGGCAAAATAAAACCAAGAAAAATCATGGAGGAAATTAGACAGCAGGGAACAATGTAATTAATGAAATAGTCCATACTCTCCCTTCCCATTTCGATCGTCACCGTAATGTCAACGAAGGGCTCTTCACAACATTGGTAGTGCTCTATGTTTCGCTTCATCTTCACCTTATAAATTTCCCATTCTCCATTTTCTTGGTAATCCTTGGTTGGAAATGTCAAATTTTTTATGGGAGTTATGTCAAAGGTAGTGGCGTCGTGCATCCAGGAACCGAACTTGAGTTTACATGTTTGATTATCAAATGGAAAATACGTTACTTTTACTCTGCAAAGGACGTTGAATATCATTGGGTTGAACCACACGTTGGTGCCATTGAAGAAGAGAGTGATACCGCTCCGATAGCTAGTCCTTCCACCGCCAAAGTGATCTTGCTCGTCTTTGCTACAAGGAAATAAACAGAAAAATTGTTAAGGCAGCGTAGGAAAACAGCTTGTGTTATCATCATTTCTATTAATCTTAACGTTCCTTTCATGTTCCCTTCCAATGTATTTTTCCAAAAACTGTACTAAAAAAAAAAATAGATCATCGTGCTTGTCCAAGAAATATAGTGGGGCCAATATTAATCTTATCCAATTTACGCCTGTACTGGCACTAATCACGTGCGTCATTTCATCGATTCACAATACATTTTGCGGTAGTTGAAGGCAAGTGTTCTTAAAAGCAAAACTTGGAAAAATAATGGATAGGTAGAGAGTCTCTTGAGTATAGAGCAATGTAATATATGATGTGTAGAATCGAGTCGTTGCTTTCGAGGTCACAATTCGCATCCTCGTGCGACAGCCTTCGTGCACGCTTGTAGCTATGTTTTTTCTCCCTGCGATAAATTTTTCTAATTTCTCCAAATGAAAGGAGATGATTTGTACACTAAACATAAAAATCATAGATCACCTCGTTCGTTCAACAACAAAATACCATTGTACCTGTTTATCTCGTCATTGATCGAAAAACAATACCGTGCTCTTGGAAAAGGCGCACGCGTGCGCCTGATTATGTGATTTGTTATGCGCAGTACGGATGCGAATGAGGAATCACTTGAAGAACTTTTCTGTTCAGTTGATGACAAAATAATCAGAATTTTGATATCAATTCCACGTCCAGTCATCTACAAAATATATTATACTTTGGCTAAATATGCTAAAAGCTCAAAAACGAGCCCAATAACTCGAATATCCTTAGAAAAAAAATAGGGATCAAACTTTAATTCTCAGAAGGTTTTATTATGGATAGATCCATCAACTTAGGGACCAGTCATTTTTTTACCGCCTGAAGGGGGAGGAGGGTGGAGGATTTTTTTTTGGAGGGGGTCACATGGTTTTCAGGAGGAAACGGAGGGGTGTCAGTCTATGTTAAATCATCCACTGAATACATGGGAGAGGGGGGAGGTGGGAATATAATATAGACAGATAGAGGGATCAAGTAAATTTTATCGTGACTTAACCCCACCTTCCTCAGGCGACAAATGGTAACCGATCCTTAAATAAGAGATGACTATTATAGCGGCCACTGTCCTGTTACCAGGTCCTGCATCTTACAAATTGAGCAAACCTGATCTCACCACATGATTAACAACTTACTTGTTATAAAGAAGAATATCCGGGACCCAGACCCTCTTTGGCTCCACAAAAATTCTGTCTATTCCGTCAAATTCAGACTTGTTCCACCGCAAGGAAGGGTTCTCCCATTTCTTAAGAACACAAAAAAGCCACATTTTGTTCATCATTTATGAGTTCATTAAATTCACCCTTGAAACTCATAACTTAATTTCCGAAATGGAACCACGCTCATGTGATTTCATACAAACATCTCAAAAATGACGAACAGCATTTTAATTTTAATAATAAAAAGAAAAACCGCCCGTCTACTGAAATTTTTACTTCTTTACCAAAACTAGATCCTTTTGAAAAGTATCTTGCTTTTTCAGCAATGCAGTCGGTATCTTTATGTGTCTCTATCGGAATTATTTTCAAGTCAGTATAGACAGTATTTCTGTTCGTTTACTAAATCAATCAGATGCAAACTTAAAATCACTCTCAGTTTAGTGAGGAATTTCAGTTTTTACGTGCTTAAATCCGTTAATATTAAAGCTAGCAGCGAATGCGAATAGGGCGTTTTACAATAGGGTGTCGTAAAACCAATAGAAACGGCCGAACGAAGAAAGGAAATACCTTTCAAAGTAAAAACAACCAAACTGCCCAAAGCGCGGGAAAACGCGGGAAACCAAGTCACGATTGGTTTCATTTATGCATCTGATTGGTCTAGATGGCGGCGCGAGTTTTCTAGACCAATCACACACTGACGTAAAGCGAAACCAACGCAATCTCGAATTATTTTTGACACTCAATTGAAAATAGCTCTGTTAGCCGATTCAAAATTACTCGAGGCTTTAAATAAAACTGACCTGTCTAACCCAACCATACACTGTCATTGATTGCTCTTTAGCGTTCTGTAAAGGAACAAGAAAATATCAGAGAGATATGTCACAAAGTTTTATCAATAGCGGCAGCAGTTTTAAGCACAAACATAAAGGAGAGGAACGTCTTTTTGTCGAAGGCAGAGGGGGCGAGGTCACTCAGCGAGAGGTTATGTGACTTCGTGCGACTTTATGACTTGCACTCCCACCACATTTTTCATAATTTAAGATTTTCCAACCTTAGTCTCTTCTCCTCTTTGGATTGTTTTTTTATCTTAGCAAACCAAAATTTTTAACTTAACTCACTTAGTAGGAAGCTATGAAGGTCCCAGAAAAATGGTTTGTGTCAAAGCCTCAGTTAGTTCCTTTATCATATAAATTCTTTCATTCCCGCGATCTAAGTATCAATAGGTCGTTTCCAAAAGATCTTAAGGCTAGCGCTCTTTTTTAAAACGAGGCCTGGTCTTCGGCCATTCGTATGAAAATGATTGCAAATTGCACTTAAATGAAAACTCATAATCATATGAAATGATAAGCTCCAGGACTCGCTTTGAAAACGAGGCTAAGGGAAATTCGGAAATGGCCTTTTCTCCCAACAGACACCAATATGTTTTCCTAGAATTTGATATCAAAGTAGGCTTTATCTCCTGGTTGATATTTTCCTTTTTTTAATTACTTTTCAGCTTTAAATCAGGCATGGATATTAAAAGGAGAAACTACTTATTGATTGCTCCTAGGAGTGAAAGGTCAAAAGGAACCCCTTGTAAAATTAACCCCTTAAACCCTTGAAGTGATTAGCAGCTAATTTCTCCTTACCATATCACCCCTGAGTTACGCATTAAGGTCACGAGAATGAACGAAACGATCACCAAGTAAAGAAGCGCTTGATTATTAAACAAATTCTCACTGTCAGCACCAAAGGAGGTTTGTAGAGAACAGTATGGAGAATAGGCATAATGATGTTAAGGGTTCACCGAAATTAATGGTCCTCTTGTTGTCCTTGATCAAAACCCTATTCACACAAATAAAAGATGCACTTACCACTTCAACAATTTTGATGAGCTCGAGTGCAAACTGGACGTTAATGGTAGTAGAGAGGTTATGCCGCGGCAAAAGGTCGACGCTGTAATAGCTCTCATTAAAAAGCCGTTTGTGAAGTCTCTTTTCGGCACTGAGTCTTGCATCACTTGCCGCAATACCTAAGATAAATAGATTAAAGACCACGTTGAGCCCAAAAGTTGTAGTAGAAACTTATGCCGGCCGACATTCATCAGAAGCTACTTATCTGTTCAACTTTAACTGAACATTCCAGTAGTTTTATGATGGAAAAGCTTGGCAACCTGCGATGGATTACTTCCAAAATCAAGTTATCCCAAAGCTTTTAAACAAAACTATTACAAAAATGTTACCCATAATTCATAAGGCGCTTTTAAGTTCGTCAGACTTTCGCCAATACAGACTCTACCCAATTATGGGTAAAATTTATTATATATTTTTGGAAAAAACCACGATTTTCGTGGTTGTGTTGTTATTAAAGCAAGATGTGGGGCCCCACTCAGTTTTATCAACGTTGTCACATGCCCACACTCCTGGCCGCTGAGTTAGCAGCTGATGCTACTACATGGATCGTTTTAACGATGCAGCGATGAAATTATGAAATTGAAGATGGTTTACATAGACCTCTATCATGAGGGTAAATCTTTTTTTATAACCTTTTAATGGGCCCTCTTAGCTTTAATTACTAATCAGCTTCTTTGATTCCTTAACAACAAGCTTCCCAAAACACTTCCTTGAAAACAAAGAATTTTAAAGGCATGTAGCTAGTTTGCATACACACGATACAACAACTATCATATCCATAATTTTGAAAGAGGTCTATTGCTGAGGAAAAACAGCCCTGCATGTGTGGGATTCAAAAAGAGGCCGCTGTTCGCATCAACCCCTGCATCTCTGTATTTCCGCCTTGAAGATAGAGCCCACTTTTTATGCAATTAATGATTAAAAGAGGTGGACACCAAAGACGCCATTTATGGAAATCGTCAGTGTTACATTCTAGTTGAAAAAAATATACATTTTATCCCATATCCTGGAGGTACAGTTTGAAATTTAACGCAAAAGAAGTTTCTATTGTTAATGCCTTGTCAGAGGAGGCAGTATCTGCAGTATTACCTTGAGTTTTCAGGTACCATGCCATAAACTTGTGCACGAAATGATACAGCTTGCATACTCTTTATGTTCTCTTATGGCAGGATGTAACTAACAGAAAACCTTCAGTATGCAGCACAGTTGGTCGAAGCGCGAAATATAGGTGTCTGAACTTATTATCTCTTTTTTAAGTAACAGTAGAAATATACGGACCCAAGGAAACGGTTGTATCATGAAAAATAATTGGAAAACTGGAAAACAGATTTGTCCTTGCTTTATCGTATGTTTCTTTGAATGGTTTTGATATCGAATTTTACCGTTCCAGTTTTATTTTGGGTTTCTCTGCCTTAAGACTTCCTTAAAACGATATGATGAGAATTAATGAAAAAAACAGGAAATAAACACCCACCATATCATTCTAAACTGACAAAAAAACCCACACAAAGGAAGACACGACACAGGCAGTGTCAGCTGCAGAAGTTTATGTACTGAAATTTTTGACATTTTTCCTTGGTTGAATTATGCCATTTCCTAATATTTCGTTTGTTCTCATCATATTTTAGTTATTCGTTTATTGAGTTTAGACAACCTGTGCTTCTCGCGGTGGTAATTGTTGGCACGTCTTCAATCAGATTTCAAGCCTCTTTGTAACTTAAGCCTGCACCGTGCTCTCATTTAGTAAGTGAGAGTCTGGCGATAGTTACTGCGATTTGTTATGGTGTTTCCTTACCTTTTGATAAAGTAAATCCCAGCAATACGTCAACCAGGAATATAAGTTTTCTCTTCCTTGAGGGAGACATCTTCGTCCATTATTTACAGTCCATCTGTCAAGATTTGCACAATTATTTATTGGAATCTGCTTATATTTATGGAAAACTTACGCTTTTTTCAAATTAAGGGAATGTTTAATTATTGATAAGCTAAAGTTGAATAATTTATTCTTATTCCGAAAGTTACCTCATTTAAATTCTTGGATAAATATTTTTTCCTTAACTTCATTCGTCAGCTTCAGCTAAAAAAGGAACAGAATTAACCAGACAATTGAATGGCGATATAAAGTCAATTTTTATAAAGTGTCGTGTGGTTTCGTTACATTTATTATCTAGAAACACGAATAGCATATCTTTTCAATAGAATCCCAAGTTTTAAGTATGCTTGAATTGTTATCCAATTTTTTGGTACTTATAAACAAAGCATGCCACAGTTTATTCCAAAAATTCAATATTCTATCATACGCGGCGTTTCTTGATTATATCTTCCAGTCTCCTTCAGTGAAATAAGCGTTACCTGGAAATAAGACCGCCCATGTATCTTGATCAGATGCTCTGTACACTATCTGTAAATGATTTCCTCTTACCCAAAGTAGTCAGTCGTGGAAGTCAGTTTTAAACATATCCCGGAAAAGACATTATTGCTTCACTTAGAAATATGTTCCCAAAACGCTTAAAATTTTCGCGTATTTTGAGCTCGGGCTTCTTATGCTAAAGCCAGCTGTTTTGAGAACATCTCTAATTCGAAATTCATGAATAACTGAAACTCTCCTGGATAGAACGCCGATGCCTTTGATTGGCTCATCTGTAAAACATTCGCCGATTAACGACTCAGCGCTTGGATGATATCTACTGGGCGGATTTTTATTTGTTGTCACTTTGAGAGGGCACTGTTTAGTTTTCGCGAAAACTTAAGAAAAAAAATTTTTGAAGTTATTTAGTGTTAATTTAACTTTCCTATTCAAAAGAAATTCAAAAGGCTGCCATGGTTCAGGTGAAGTTTGATCTTTCACAAGGCGGTCTGCTTTCAAATAAAAGCACTCGTAGTGAAATATGGCAGTTTACTCAAATTAATATTTGACGTCTTCCGCTGTTCATTTTGATGACGCGGGTTACATGAATTGATGAGTTTTCGCTTATTCTGCATCTGTTTATCGACATTTGTTGCAAAACAAACACAGCGATCTCGGTCTCCTTTAATTTATTTACCGCGTTTACTTAAGAGTTGTTTTGGATTTATTCGACATAAAAGCTCACCACTCCTCTGCAAACAACTGCGTAACGGTTGCCAAGCAACGACTCCCAAAATGTTAAAATGAAATTAAATTCAACTCAACTCAGCTTATGTTACAAAAATATTCAAAAGTTAGGGAGTCGCGTAATTATAAAAAATTGTAACTATAAGCAGAGTAAAGACAATCACAAAGAAATTCGTTTTGTGTATCAGGCAGCCTACTGAGATCTTACAAATTGTACTTTTACAGCAGGCATTGTTACGTCACATGTTGGGCAAAAATAGCAATAAAAATTAAAGCCGTTTTTTTAGGCAAAGTCGTTTGAGATACGAGATCGTTAAAAAAGTTCTGATTTCTTAACAGTAGCTGCACTAAGCTGTTCGCTCTTGATTCATTTTAGAAACGAAATATCGTTATTTGCAGAATTTTAACTCAACGAGGCAGATGCTCTATTTAAATTTTTCATCGCGGGAGTTAAGATGGCGAACTTATTTCTGTTCGGCAGTGGGTATATCCTCACTACAATATCGCGTGAGAACATTTCCAAGTTCAAAAATCTTCATTTTGTCGCCATTTACAAGTAATTTCTAACGAGGCAAAACGGATATTAGATAACAAGTTTGGCCATCTGTTTAGTCGAGAATTTTGTAATATTCGCGCTTTAAAAACAAAACAAACATCGTAAAAAACACTTTAAAAATTACACTTTTGTATTTCCGTCGTTTCAGGCTTTCGAAAAGTTACTGGTCTATTTAGAGCAGGCCCTTAGAATCATGCTGAACACTTGAGTGATAACACACAAACTTTTTTTCAAATTGTGAATAAAATTAATACTACTCGGGTAAGTCGAGATGTGTACACTGCATCTATAAGAAAAAATATTATAAAACGCTACCACAAGCAAGCTATTGAAAGAAGGAATGAATTCTGAATTTTTTTTCCGAATAGCTTTTCCGCGATCAAAGAGCGCAAATGATAGAATCGTAATCGTACATCTAAACGTTTTAAGGGGAAGATGTTTCAAGCCACCCTAAAGTAAAAGGAACTAATTAGAAAAAAAAGAGGCGTTCTTAGTAGTTCGTAGAAGCATTCTATGGAAAGTCAACGTTCACAGAGTCATCGCATCAGATCAATAAAATCATTTGACAGTACTCGCGAATGTTAAAACGAAAGAGTTATTGTTCTTTCAGAATATATCACTAAACGATGCTTATGTACGTGACAAAAGGATTAGGTTAACAGCTAACTTTTCACAGAGCAAAACTTACCTGAAGCGTATTACGAAAATACCATCATTCCTTTGAGATAAAGAATTGTTTCAGTTGTTTTTTTTCCTGACACGGAGATTCAGAAGTGGTTTGTTCAAACATGAATTGAGTCGAGTTACCCTCCGGCTTTGTGTGATCAAAATCAAATTATTCAAACTGATCTTTGTGTTTTAGAGCTCTACGTAAATACAAATATTCGTCAAGGCGTAGACAGCTGGAACTTGGGTGGAAAACGGTCTGGAGGAGGTTTTCTGATCAATGGAAAAGACGCTTTAGTTAATGGCCGTCTGCAGATGGCAAATAGCACGTCTTTAAAATGAACATATCATGAAGGCGTTTTACATTTGACAGCTTCTTATTCATTATGTTGCAGCATCTCACAGCGAGAAGCCAAGTGGTCGAAATTTGCTTTTATTCTGTGCAACCTGAACTCAATGTTACTTTCCATTTTTCATCACGACTGTCTGCCGTCGATTGCAATACCTACTTTCCACAATTTACTCTATAAGTTACTACTTTAAACAAAGAAAAATCAGGATTTAAAGCTAAATTTAGTATCATGCAAAGCCACTAGACAATATCTGTCAGAGATAGAGAGGCAAATGACAAATTCGAACAATAATGCATTATTTGTTATCTTTCAATGACAAGAGGAAGATGTGAATAAATGAATGTTTTTCCGCTCCGCGATTCATTTTGATTCGTAGGATATTCAAGGCAGACTTATCTTACCGATCGCTCATATCGATATCGAAAAAAAGCTACGCATTGCATTGAATTTAAGTGCATTAAGCTTCGACACCTGCACTTATTGAGACGACTTACTCAAAACTACGAACAGTTCAGTGTCAAATCTAACCCATTTTAGTTAATAAATATCAGATTATTAAAAGACGTCATTTGAATTTTCTTTCAAGGAATTGGATAATTGCAACGAGAGTTTTAGCATTGAAGAGTACTAGAAGGTTCATTGACCAATAAGATTTAACAGTCTGATTTTAAAAGGCTTCCTTTTATATGTCTCCAACCAAGAAAGAACATTTATAAATCTACTGCTCCGACTAATTTGCTGGTTTTGGTTAACAAGAAAGGCAAACTTTAATGAAGTTCGTACAATGAATAGCAGGGCCCAGGCCAAGACGACGACGTAAACAAGGACCGAAAAATAGCGCAGCACGTGCATTTCAAAACTTTTTCGATTTCTAAGCCGTCCTCTGCTAAACCACAACGTGAAATCACCAAAATTTGCATGGTATACGAACGGAAACCCCGACGGTAAATTTTTTAAGTTTCCATTTTGAACTTAACGCTGCTCACATGCGTTAAGCTGGTGTTGAGGTGAGGCAACTTAAGAGATGGTAAACACGTCCAGCCATTTGTGAAATTCTAACTAAAAATAAGAATTCATTTTTTTCGATCGATGTCTTGGATGGCGCTGCCGTCTTGACTGCTTAAGGTCCCTAATGTCAGAACTGACTGTTGCATGCTGTCGTAATGGAGAACAGAAAAGCCTGGGATATTCCCAGTATTTCACAAGGTTGATATCTTATCATTTAGGGAATTTAAGTCAAGTTAACAAATAGATTGCAAGTTGCCGCGCGTCCGTTCAGTGATAGATCACAAATGACGTCAAAATGTGGTCGGAACAAGAGTGGCACTCAAGGCGCCGGCGCGCAAATGTGTTCCTACCACGTTTTTCAGTGATCTGTTTCTGTACATGCCCATAGCGGCATGTACAATCAATCGAAATGCGTGTAGGATTCAGCTTATCATATCATACGTCTTTTAGTCATTCTCTCACTCACAAAGTTATGTCACATAATGTTTTTTTTTTTCAAATAATATTTATATCGCTTAATCTAAAGTAAAAATACTACGTAGTCTTCGATCGACCGATAGGTATGTTTAGATGACATGATATAAACACAGGTAAGACGTTTAAGATTTGCGTGCATAACGCTCTCTAGTCTTTCATCTCCCTTGTGTTTAGCGAAGGCTATGTTAACTCTTTACCTCCTAAAAAGTTGCAAGCATCTAATTTCTCTATAAATTATCACTCCTGAATCACGCATCCCGGGAATGCTGTAGTTTTGCGTCGACACGTTCTGTGACTAGTCAATAAATTCGCGTCACTCTTTCAACCAATCAAATGTAAAACTTTAACCACAATTTCTTTTAGTTGCCTTGCAACAGCGGTAGCATGAAATTTTCATCAACAATACAGTTTTGGTATAACCGTGAAGTCATTCAGTTATTATCTACATTACTACAAGAAAACTGTAGAGAAAGAAAAATCTAGGACTAAACCCGCAGTTAAGATCTCTACGGTTGCTCCAACTAGACAATAACTTCATGTCGAACGTGAGTCGATTCCACTTTTAATTGGTTGATTACCGTGTTCTGTGTGTCAATACAAGTCTTGGGAATTGCAAATAGTTTTAATTGCCGCTTCTAGTTATTTCGAAGCAGACATACCGAAAAATTATCTTCTTTCTAAAGTGCTGGCGCTATTCATTTAGTTTTTCATCCGCCTCTGATGAAGGAGTCTAAACAAACTCCGCACCCTGAGGTGATTTTAGCTGTTATTGATATGTTTTGGATGGTTGCTGGTTTCGATTGACAGGTCAAATTATTTGCTGAAAGGTACGGCTCATAATGGCATATCGAAAAAAAATATATAGACCTTCGGTTATGACAAAAGGGAATTAACACATGTACTTGAAATGAGTAAAAAAATTGTGGTCTTGTGTCCAAACTGGTACCACCGCTGTTTTTCTCTTCCTCTCTTGTTCAATTTTGATGCATGTTTTCCAAAAAAACTCCCGCACTTCTCACAAAAATTTTTTTTTTTATTGCGGCAAAGGCACTAATATAAACATAAATGCTTGAATATACGTTTGTGCTTCGTTGTAAATTTTTTCGTCCATCAAAGCTTCTCGCTTGAAATTATCTTCACAGGGAAATAAAGATTCTCCGCTAGATTGTAAAAGTTAACTCAGGAGGAATTCGGAATCCAACAGGACATTCATTTTATTCGTCACACTTGAAATTGATGATCAAAAAAAAAAATGAAAACATTTTTTCTCTTTTCTAGATAGCCTAAATACTGCACCCTTTGAAATTGTAAGCTTGGCGATGCAAGAAATAGAAAAGCTAAGTCCCCTTTATGTAATCCATTTACCCAAGATACACGTAGTTTACGCAGGCACGAATCATTCGCTGTGTCACAAGTTTCCTTGACACAAAACAAAAACAGACAACAAACGAGTCTCTCGTTCAATATTACCCTTTCTCTATTTTATGTAATTCCTATATTTAAATGTATATTTTATGAATATATTTTGTGTCCTCTTGTATGACCAACATATTACATGAAGAATGTAAGTTGTGTTATATCATTTTTTTTATTTTGATAAGCATAAAGTACAGGTCTGTCGACAACCCTTAAATAAGCTCTTCTAGTTAATGATTCAATACGTACCTTATAAATGAAGTTTTAAGATCCTAGCGAGACAGAAACCAACACATCCCTAAGCAGATTCAGTATTCAGCATTCACCTTCGGTTAACTCTGCAAATTTTGAATGATAACCGTGCCTACATTTGCCAATTTTCGATTAAAAGTACGATAAGAAATGGAATGGCTAGAAAAAAAACAGACTACTTTTAATTACCAAAACCTTAAATTAGGAGTTATTTTTTTGTACTTTTAATATCAGCCATGACTAATTAAAATAACTCTTAAGATTATTTACTTAATAGAAGTCCATTTGGGTTAACCTACGGAAATTAAAAAAGGTGACTCTTTCTGACTTCGATTGGCGCGCTAGGGTTTGCAAAATTCATGCGATAAATATGTCATTTTGAAACCACAAAGCGAAATCTATTCAACGTAAAATTCATGTCGTAGGCCTCAAAAACATTCCGATTTAAAGCCGCTTGTTTTTTAATGTTATGAATCGAGTGAATTAATCATTTTTGTTTCAAGCTGCGCTGTCTCTTGCTGTCAAGCAACCATTATAACTCAAACCAAGCTAAAGAATGTTTTCCGACAAATTCAATATGTATGTCTTCCCAATGCATAGTAATTAATTTTTTAAAATTTGCTGCTTTCTGATTATTTTTTGTTATTCAGATGATGTAGTGGGAGTGGGAGTGGTATGCTGTTACTGTTACTACTGTACTCTACAAATTGTGTAATACAAAGATTAACTGTCTAACAGAGAAAATGGTGAAACTAGTTATTATCATTATCTTTCACCTAAAAAAAAGCACTTAGAATGAATTTACAAGGCCCTATACTAGAGAAAGGTAAAGTATTTTGAATACCAGCAGCGTTTCAACCACAAATTTTTCAAGCTGCTTTCGTTCAAGAATTAATATTTTTATGGTTTAATTATGTGTGCGAGCGCCGTTAGTGGTCTGTTCCCCCGGTTAGAATTTAGCCCCTATAATGCACTGACACCGATCCTTATTGTTTACAAAGTGAAGGAAGCAAAAATTTAGACAAATTATATTTTATCTAATGACCACTTCCTCCATTCACTCTTTTACCTCTACGAGTGGCGTATCATCAAGCAATTTGCAATTTTGATCAGTACGAGGCAAGACGTGATGACGGTCGGTCGTTTCTTTAGTGGAGTGGCACCCGATAGCAGAGCCTTGCTTGCAGCGCTAAATTTTCCTTTCAGCCTGTAACACGTCCTTCGTTTAAAATCAGCTGAGCAAATTGAGGATCAACAAGGCGACTGGATTGGACAACATCAGTGCTCAAGGATTCAGCAAATCGTTTCCTCATTTCATCAATCTGTCCTAAGAGAGTGAGTGGTCGATTTCCGTCATCATGGAAATGTGCTAAAGTAACATATCTTTTTAAGCAAGGTGATAGAATTGAACTTATACAGATAAATACTGTCTGAGATGCCCGCAGGGAGGGAAAGCGGGAGGGGGGGGGGGGGGGGTTGCCTAGAAGAAGACTGATAAAGATATGGATGCGTCGCTGGATGGAGCTGCATTTTCATTTCTGGATTGACTGTAATAGGATTGCACTTCTTATGCAGCTTCTAAAATGGGGTCGTAAAATGTGTTTCATTCGCTCAAAAGAGACTAAGATGGGGTCTATAATTGGTCAAGGATTACAGTGTTACGGAGTGGACGTCCTGAGAGACCAGTGGCACATATCCAGCAAAAATTGACCCAAGTGATTCCCCCCCCCCCCCCCCCCCCCCCCCCCCCCACTCCCCACATCTTTACCTTCCTTTGGCAAAGGTTACAGAAGCCCGTGAAGGGATAGACGGAATTTGCCACATTTTTGTCAAAGGTTTATAACACCTGTATCTTGGATCAAAGTTTGAAGTCAAAGCAACGCGAAGCCGGCCACCTTTTTCAAATATCTGTCAGTTCAAGGCACATCTTTGAATTTCTCAAGAAATTTATGCTCGGCTATATTACTGCTTAACACAGAGCAATATCGAGTCAGATTTCAACTGCATAATTGATTTTACTATAAATAGATCTGATGAAGATTGTCATGCTATGCTGGGTGAAAGTGGTTTATAGTTCAGCTGTGCGTGTTATGCGAACTTTTCAGCCTATATCAGCCAATGAAATCCCTTTTTTTAAGCTAATTGTGCATTTTTTTCCGGGACACTGGTAAATTAAACGGTAAGTACAACTTGATGTATGTGGTGAATAAAAGGCGCAAGTGCAATTAATTTGAATCCTAGGTTAATCCTTAACTTGAAGGTACCTGGTGCCTCCTAGCAACCATCTCCTTGAACACTTGTCCTCTCAAAGTATTTTGAATCAGCTGCTCCATCTTTTACATCTTGCTAGGCAAACCAATCCAATTTCTAAACCAGATCAGTGGTTTATTAAAAACTAATTGACAGCTTCTACAACCTAATAGAAATTCTAATCTCTCTTCCTCGCCCTTTAATTTTTGGAAATTAATCGTCGCTTTGAATTCCAAAACTACTCGGTTTAGTTCACGCTTTTATGCGTTAGAAAATGAAAGAAATAAATAGATTATCTAGCCGAGTGGACACAAGGGAAAATAATATATCACGAGCAGTCTCCCTTTTTGACGAAGTCTGTCGCATGAATCCGAAAAAAGTCGGTAAAAAGGGATGTTAGTGCGGTGCTCGAAACTCTGGGAGAGAGTCGCACAGATTACGTAATTTTCTTACTAATCGTGCGAAGAACATCGCCGAAAAGCAGGGTCTGCTCGCAGTCTGGAAAATATCTGCTAAAGCTAAGGTAAAAATATGAATACCGCTAATTATTGTGGCATTATGAGTCCATAAATGGAATACAGCATGCTTCAGCGGGGCATATCGATCCCAGACAACAAGGCTACACACGTGATCTAGGTTCTCGTTAGATTTGGATTGCCTCCCATCAGACTTCTGTGCAAAATTAAATAAGGATAAAATGTGCACACAAGAAAACATATCAACGATCGCTCTTGTAAAGCTATGGAAAGTAAACAGATTGAGAATTTTTCATGGTGAGTGTAGTTAAATTTCTTAAAATCTAACAGCATCAGAGCACAATTTCAATAGTTAGGATTACGGGCAAGTTTAATTTAAATGCCAATTTCTATTCGTCTGCATGATTTTACTATATTGTAAACAGAGCATAAAACTTGTCTAATACTAAAACCTAGCTGAATTTCAACCTGTGCAGATGACGCAAATATTTCTACTTGAGTGCAGTTCAAAAAAATCGTTCTTCCGTTCGGTCCAAATGATCAGCAAAATTTTGGATCAACGACTCTCCAGCATTCAAGTGAATTCGATTCAGTGAACAGACATCATGTGAGAACATTCTACAGTTTATGCTAATAAATATTTAATTAAAATTTGCATATTTTCTCACCTAATCGCCATTGCATAGTGACATTAAAAAAGAAACTTTTTTAAAAAATGGATAAATAACCATCTTGGCTTGAGTAACTCATTTGGGTGTTATTTGAATTTAAATAAACATGAATAACATTTCATTTTTAACAGCCACACATTGAGCAACATTGTGTCGGAAATATTCAGCGAATACCACCACTTTCAATGAAAACCGAAATTTCCAAAGTTTGGTTACAAATTTCCGATTTAACATCGTGGACAACCTGAAAACTTGTTTTATTTATGAAGAGAAAGGCTCTTGATATAACTTATCTGGTAATGCTTTCAAACAAAAGGCTTTGTTAAAACTACGGATCTGTTATGAATAAACACCACTAATCTGAATATATCTATGAAAAACCTTTAAGAAGTACGGTACAGATACAAGTTGGTATTTATGTTGGTGGGCTATCTCTAATCTCTTGTTACTATGTAAGGCCACTTTTATTATTTGAAAACGGTTCGTGGTCTTTTGCAACTATGCAACTATGTATGCAGCTTTTGGAGAGTCTTTTTATTTTTTCGCTTACACTAATTATGGAGAACTCATCCTTTAATTTATTTGTCAGTTTTCAAGTGACGTTTGCAACACAGTCAAAATGGCCTGAAAGTGCGCCAGCTTTTATCCATTAATCATCATTTTAAAACAAACTCTTGCATATAAAGTTTGAATAGATATACTGATTTGCGCAAAATGCACTACAAGTGACGAACACAAGGTGCAGCTGATTAAAATATTTTGGGAGGAATAATAGTCTGTACATATTGGCCATGGATTGAACCCAAAGCTATGGATGTAAGGTAAAATCTCTCCTTGTACCTAACTCAGGATGTTTTGACGATTAACATAATCGTGATCCGTTCAGCTAGTATCTATACGTGACGGTTACCAACAGACAGCAGACTATTCTACTGCCCTTTGGCTTAGTTCCCTTTTGGGCGTGCGTTCTCCCAAACAAGAGGAGCACGCAATGACTACAAGTGTGCGATGTGGTATATTTCCAACAAAAAAATCTCGACTCTCAAAGCAAAAAAGAACGCACCAGGTGAGGTTTACACATCACTCACCGACTGTGGCATCTTTTGCGTTCTTAAATGTGTGCTAATGAAAATTGTATCTTAATGTGTTGTTATCTCACCTACAAATATCTCATGCAGTATTCTATTACAGCTGCATGACAGAATTACGGAATCAAGAAGCTATCATTCATTTGTAACCCAAAGGAAAAACCGTCCCGCTTAGAGCCATCTCAGGTTACTGAAGGGGAGCAAAATTTGTTGATTACAAAACATATAGCTTTGAGAGTGCCTTTCAATAAGTTTAATGGCTACTCGAAGTTCTGGTTTTTTGCAGTCTCAGACCGAGTCAATCTCTGATTTCATATGATCCTCAAGTCGCAAAGAAATTATTGCCTTCAAAAGTAAACTTTATCTCAAGGTTTATTTGATATATCGGTACAGTACTTTATCGGTGGAGGATTACTGGTGGAATCGTTTCATTTGCTACTCTTTATCTACCCGCTTCCGTGGACCTTTGAGTGCAGACAGTTAAAGATATAAAATGTCCTTCATAATGACCTATTGTCTCTGTAAGAACTGAGATTTTGAAGCAGTTATCACGCTAAAAGAGGTGGCTTAAAAGCTATTTACTAGACTCTGGCGGCGGTCAAAATATGATATTAGTCTTACATCAAAGAACAATGCCTTCTTCCTTTTAAGGCTATCTTTAATACAACAACATTGTAATGAAGTCTTTGAAATTTGAACAATACGTGATCTAACTGCTCATCTGCTCTTCCTTGCATAGTCAGTAAGCACTAAGTTACGGTTTCTACACCAAAAAACGTGGACATGATTGACTAAATTGTTCCCTGAGATGTTTATTTTTGCTTGATATGTTTCTTTGTATCCAACACTTCTGCAGTGATGGGTGTCATTTACATTTAAATGAGTTTAGCGATCTATAAAATGAATACAGCGTCGCCCACTCTGGTGCCTTCATTAGAGCAGCTGGAGGCCATGGTAATTATGTATGGATGACATTTTAATAGGAAATTAATGTTATTCTGTTTAGCATTGGAGCCAGATAGTACCAACAGCGAGTGATAATGCATACAATCATTGCATGAAAATGATATTTAACATCGTGATTCACCTAATGATGCAAGATCCTTGGTAAAATATATTGGACCAGAGCAGAGCACAAAAAGTAAAAGGTACGCAACCTGTTGTGGGAATTATTTAGTGCGCTTTACGTTTTGTCTCTAAACATTAAATGAAAATTAAAACATTTTTTTTTTTGACACAGTAAAAGAAACTTTTTCAAGGAACAATCTTGTTGGCATGGCTCAACGTTTTAGCTATTATATGAAAATAATATGATTGTTTGTCATGGCGTTTGTGAAAGTTACACCGCTGCGCCATTAAGGTTGCTAGTTATACTTTCATTATAAGACAAGTATTATTTTAGCATAAGGAGGTTAAAAAGTTCTCTATAATAATACATGAATTCAGAATTGATTGGATTGGAATACTTCAACTCCTCTGTTCACGGCTCCTACGACTATCTCGAGTAGTAGCATTGGGCAAATGTAATTGAGTCTGATGGCATAACACGAACCAAGGAGGTGTGAAAAAGGCAAAACAAACGCCAGCAGCTATTTCATTTGTTCTTGCGAAACTCGAAAAAAAGGCCTTCGTAAGCAAGTGACACGTCCTACAACCCATATTTTGAGAGAAATATTTACAATTTATGAAGAAAATATACTGAAAAGCAGACTTTCTTCGCTCTCCAATTTTTTAAAGTTACAATTACAATTAGTAATGCAAGAGGCATGTTGAAGTGTTAAAACGTGTTCAAAAAGGAAGATCGCATAATCAAAGACTTTTCAAGGTGCCAATAAGTGAGTCCTTTGAAAACACTTTGGTAACGACTTCACTATTTTCTTATTTATTTAAGTAACTTTCCAATGGGGTACATTGGCTTTTTCTCAGCCCGATATAATAATTTTTTCCTCTAGCCGTTATCATGGAGATAACATGGGGGCTTGCTAATTTTTGCCCTCGGCAAGGCAACTGGGAATACATACACCGGCGTCATCTGTTATTGGTATCAGGCAGTTCGAATTCGTTTTAATTTCATTCTCCGGAAATATGGCTGGCTTTGGCGCGGATAAAACGGGTTGTTCATTTTATAGGAGGGGCTAGTCCCGAGACATCAAACATAGAGTTTTAATAGCACCCTTCTGCTCATCTATCCATGGTGACTTACACTTTAAGTTTGTTTTCCATGAGCCCTAGGTCATACTGATTTGTGTTGTATTTGTGGTGTCACAAAAAGTGTCACTATACTTGAAAACGTTTATTAGCATTATAACGGCCGACTTATTCATGGGACAGATTACATCGCTGAACCGAATACTCTCTAATAGCACCAGTATTACAACTGAGGGCCGAATATCAACAGGCATATAGCATTCAACTGTTTCAAGCGGCGACATGATTGTAACGTTGCTGACATGCGTTTCTTTTCAAATGCTTGGTTTGTTGTTCATCTTGAACATCAAGTAACCTAGACCGTAGGGGGTCTTCCTATAGACGTATTTTTATTTTTTGTCTCAGTAGTTCCCTTCAAGCTAAAAAATGGGGATAACCTAAGGCCAGATGAGCCGTCAGGCTCTTTTGCTGACTTAACCTGTGTAAATAATGTTGCCGCAGGAATTAATACGTGTATGAAAAAAGTTTTTATTGAAATAAAACTTGTACCAATCTTAGACGTAATAAAGATTCTCATTAGGACAAGATTACAGAAAGAAACTATATCCTTCAAATTTGTCTCTAAATTTTAAGCCTTTTTTATCATGGTTCTTCTAGGTCGAGGTCTATGATGAATAGGACTAGATACTGCTTGAGATGACTCTATGAGCAGAATGGTTATATGCAGATTCTCCTGGAATCATAAAAAAGGAATCTTAAAATAACTTAATGGGGTGGACTTTATTGAACTCAAGAAAAAGGCCTGCACGGAAGACTCTGTATGTTACGTTAAAATATATTTTAAAAAAAGATATCGCCAGTTAGAATTCGGCCTATGGTGCAAGATCTGGAAGTAGAGGTAGCTAAGAGATACCATCCAATCGATTGTACATTTTGCAATTTTTTCCAACAGATCTGACCCGGGACGATTGACTTTCAGATGCTTACAGTCTCAACTGGCAGTCTACGCAATGCTCACAGGCTACCCATTGATTTCAATGGGTAAATTTGTTCCCCTATTGGTATTCATCTTTCATGTCACAGGTATGTCACCGTAGACGCGGTGGCCTCATTGTTAGTGCGCTGGACTCCGAGTCGAGAGATTCGAATTCGAGACCTGACCAAGTCAGTGTGTTCTAGGACAAAACACTTTATTCTCATAGTGCCCCTCTCCACCCCTGCTCTGGTTTTTCGAAGGTTAGATGACGCCATCCACTGGATAAATCTCTATCCATTGGATAACGCTGTACGTATTGCCATCACTTATCCGCTGGATAGTGATTTATCCGTTGGTTAGCGTTATCCTGGATACAACTGGGCACAGGAGTATAAATGAGTACCGGCGAATTGTCAGTGAGGCCTTGTAAAATGCTGGGGGGGTAATCTTGCGATGGACTAGCAGGAGGGGGGAATAGTGATACTCCTTGTCGCTTCATTCTAAGGAAGTTGGGATAAGTTTCGACTGGGTGGGCCACATAGCTTGCGTACAGAGTTCACCTTTACCTTTATCTATCGTATTAGTGCCCACTGCCAATCATCATCATCAGTTTTCCGTTTTTGTTCCAGAGGGCGCCGTCAAATCTAACGAGACACAACTGTACGAAGACCTATTTAAAAATTACAACAAATATAACCATCCAACAGTCAAAGGGGCTGATGCTGTCAAGGTCGTGTTTGATTTCCAACTCATTCGTATAATTGATGTGGTAGGTCATTTTTCTCTTCTTTTAAGGTAAATGAGGACTGGCTGTTGGCATGGGTTGATGAACTCGAATACAACAATGAATAGGTTGTACACTTTTATTAATTAAAATCTCTAAATCAATGATTTTTTCAGAGTGCCAAGGACCAGTTCATCAAGACTTATGCCTGGGTTAACCAGGTGAGAGAAGTTAGTCCCTTAGATTAATGCAATTTTTTTCTTAAATTAAATATCAAAAGTTATTCGGGATTCTCCCAGAAAACCGGATCATTATTATAAAAACAAATTGATCACGAATTAGCTTCTTACTTTTTGCTGCGCATCTATAACATTTTGTTATTATGTGTTGAATTTCCATGAAGTCCTTGTCATATTTCCTTTCATCCGTTTGGTAGTTTTCATTGATTCAGCTTTGATTTAATGACCAACTCAAGCGAATTATTTTTATGAATCTTGTCTTAAGTTGCCCTACCTTTCTTTTCCATTTTTTTCCTTTCGTGTTTGTCCACATTCCTTTGTACCGCCAGTCCAACATTTCAATTTCAATTTTTTTTGGTTGATATTTTCACCATGGTGGCCTCTCGCATGCGACCGATTTCTTTCTCTTCCTGCATGCTAAAAAAACATTTCAGTCATTTAGGAGGTTGACTACTAAACGTGTGCGAGAAGTTTTCAATCTCCCCTTCGTGTTTTTTTTAGTACTGGAATAATCCTCAGCTTAGATGGGATCCCAATAAGTACAATGGAATCAAAGAAATTCATATACAGCCATCCGATGTATGGGTCCCTGATATCCTCTTATACAACAAGTAAGTGGAATTGTCTAAATAACTGAAAAGTGCGCAATTTATCTCGTCGTTAACAGAAGAATATTCCCTAACATCTGATGGAGGGTAAAATTAATAGAGCTTCATCACCATTTTTTGAGTCAGATACCATTGCCTTTGAAATATTGAGGAAACTTGATTCAGTCGCTAACTAGTGCAGCAAAACATTAGACTGCAGAGATATAAAAAAGAATCGATGAAAGACGTTTTAGGATCAAAAGGAAGTGACACAGATTGCAAACGGTGATCTTAAAAACTTTAAGCAGTATTGTTCAAGATGCAATTTTCAAGTGATTGAAAGCAAGGAACAGGACAACCAGGATAGACTCTTCACCCGTCTGAGAGCCACGTTAACGTATAGCACCTTACTTCAAATTAACAAACAGGAAAACCAAGGTTACAGACCCAACCAGAACCGTCTGAAAACCAGTTTTATTTATTTTTCTTAATAATAAAATTAACACAACTTCATTTTCAAAGAGTCGTTCCTTTCCCTCTTACCAGTGTTGATGAAGAAGACCGTTTTGCTGGTGGAAAGTTTACTTACAAAACCAACGTTGCCATGACACACGATGGAAACAGCACATGGCTTAACCCCGCTATTTTCAAAAGTATTTGTAAAGTGGACGTAACGTATTTCCCGTTCGATGAGCAGGATTGCTCCCTGAAGTTTGGTTCATGGTCCTTCGACAGCTCAAAAGTAGATCTTCACGCACACGGTGGAAGTATGATGAACGACAACTACGTCAAGAACGGAGAATGGAGGTTGACACTATTGAAATCTCAAAGAAATAAACAAAAATATCAATGCTGCCCGCACGAATTCATTGATGTTACGATACAGATGCAGCTACAGCGAGAATCGCTGGACTATATTTTGAAGTTAATCATTCCATGCTCGCTGATTTCTTCCATGATATTTTTGGGTTTTGTTCTTCCGCCTGAATCTGGTGAACGAATAGGGCTGAGTATCACAGTTCTGCTGGCAATGACTGTGTTTCAACAACTCAGCTCCGAGCTAATGCCTTCGTATGGATTTCCACTGCTTGGGCAATACTACTTCGCCTGTATGATCGAGATAGGCGCTTCCCTGGTTGTCACTACTCTCATACTAAATTTTTATCACCGTAACAGTCGACGAATGCCAAAATTTTTGAGGGTTGTGATATTAAAATGGCTGGCTCGAGTGGTATTCCCAAAAAGTAGCGCCAAAGACTGGGAAGTGATTTCAACAAATGTGGAAGCGCCCAATTGCAAGTCAACTGCGAATGGTAATGGAGAACAGGGCGACTCTGATAGCGAAAAAGGTTCGTTTTTCCTCGTGCAATCGCTTTTGGAGCACGACAAATCAAAGATTTCTCCCACATATTCCGATCCGTGGATCCCATTGGAAAGGAAGAATGAGTTTGGCAATTCAGCAAACGGCACATCACACTACAAGAACACAAATGGCCAAGCTTACGACATGCTATCAGGAAACAGGTCCAGGCATACTGGAAACCAAAGAAAAACAAGATTTTCAAACTACCAAAATAACACCCGGAGAAAGACCTCAAGGAATCATTGTTGCACTCATCGCCAAAGCCCCGAGAAAAGAGGCTCGTCCATTGGTGCTACATCTATTCTTTTGGACCTTTTTCAGAGTACGAACGACTCGGAGCTTTCGCCACAAATGTTAAAGAACCAAAAGGAGTGGATTAAGGCGGCACGTGTGTTGGATAGACTGTTTCTGATTATCTCCGTGTTGATTGGTGTAACTACTCTCTTTGCCTTGTTTCTAAAGGCTCCAAGGTTTCGTTGAGATAACTTGAACAGAGGCTTTAAGTTAAGTGTATGTGCAATATTCACAGAAAGCGCGCCCAAAAAGTTGCTTTAAATGGCAAATATAACATGCTTTCTTTGCACTCAAAGAAAGAGAAAAACGACTTCATCGAAGCTTTTTTCTCCGTCAGGAAGATACCTTTTCATTTTGAAAGAACGAGAAAGGCATTAACTCATTTGAAATTACATTTGTATGCAAGTTGAATTTCAGACTTACACAAAACAAAACAGAGGCATCCATTCTTTTTGAAGAGGGAGATTTGGGTAAGGGAAGCCCTCTTTCTTCTTTTCTTTTTTTTTTGGCATCTGTTATGTTGTCTTCCTTGAAGTGCCTTTAATCATTCATGAAAAGCATTATTTTGAAATTAAATTCTTTCGCGATTCAGTCATGGATCAGTTTTAGGCTGCTACAAGTTCGCGTCCTGTCTTTCAAGAAGTTAACTTTTCGATTCCGTCGAGCGAGCGAAGGAAAATACCATGTAAAAGGAAAAGTAAATGAGCCAAGGAGTTACAACCTTCTGGAAAAATGAAAGTGAGCTTGAATCATTCAGAGTCTTAGTTATAACGAAACGATAAAAAACGAAGACAAAATATGCTGTCTTCTGACCGAGAAAGGGAAGCCGATTCAGTATAGTAAGAATAGTATGGACTTCCGAGTGACCGATACTTTTAAAAGAAGGAAGTGAACTCTATATTAGCTCCTTTCAATTTGAGTATAGGTCAGGTCGCCCCGTTGCGATGTCGCCTCAAGCCATGACGCGCCAGAGCTAATACACCGCGCGTCACCCTGCACAATATTGACTGAAGTTGTTTCAAGACCAGTTAACGGTATGGTTATATCATTTGGTCCAGAAATACCTAGTTCCGATCGTTGAGGTCAAATTTATATTTTTCCTTTCTTTTGAGATTTTATTTATACATGTTTCTAACTGAGCCACGGATCAGCTATGAGTGAAGATCTTAAATTTAACCATTTCACTTAATGATCCATGGAAATTTCCGTACACGTGTCTGAGTCAATTAAGACCAAACACTTTACAATTCACCATGCTGTGCAACCTTTGGAGTTGTGGCGTAACAGCCCTCAAGGAAGGTCATAAGCTTTGCAAATTAGTGTGAGAAAGCATATAGAGATAACTAACGTATTAATCCATTATGAAAAGTTGGAACATACCAGTAACTATGATCATATTAAATATATTAATTATGCACACCAATTCAACTACATTAATTTTCTTTTCTTTTTTCGGACTGGATACATCAACCTACATGTTATAACCATGGAAGAGAAGAGATGTAAGTGATTAATTAAGAATAAGATGTGAGAGAGTAAGTAAGGGTAAGAGAGATGTAAGTGATGTAATGTAATATCCATGTCAATTAGAAATTAATAACAATTATTTTCCAAAGTAAAAGTTTGTTTCAATGGTAATCATTTTTATGGTACCTTTTAAGGTTCTTGTGTCCTTCTTCACCAGAAAAATTCAGAAAGCTTGCGGAACATGATTTAATATGGCTATCATTTGGACAATAACAGAGGTACAGAATTAGACCTTTGAAGCTGACCGTAGTATCATCCTAGCAATGCAATTATATTGGGGAGCAGGGATTCAATTCCAGGAGTATTATATTTATGATGAGTTTAGCATTATGGGGAAATTGAAGCAAGTCGAAATAGCCTTAGATTCAGACTGCTTTCAAAGGTTTAACACACCTTTCAAGGTAGTGCCCAGTCTTCTTGCATTAGCAAATGTAGATGCACTACTCTGGGGACCAAGCCATGGCAAATACGCACGAAGACGCCCAAAGAGAATACATATCGACCAACTGATTGATAGATGAAGCAGGAGTGAAGAAATCCTAAATATTTTGAATGACAGATTACAATTGAAGAAACGTGTCATGGAAAGCCGAGCAAGCTCATCCTGATGGATATGATGACCAAATGCATGTGCAATAACTACTAATAATGGAAGAAAAAGCTCTGAAGTTTTAACCAATGTAGGTCTTTTCTGTATGTGAATCAAACATTTTTTATTAATACTAACCGGTAACTTTCAGTTTCTTATACCCATTGTTGGAAAGAAGCTGTTTAAAAAGCACATGAAAATAATATGGGCCTACCCAGTATACCTTGTTCATGATCAATGAAATGACCTTGGCAATCAATACGTGTGAATACGCTTCTATAGTGAGATCATCAATCATCAAACAGTTACAATATTAACACTGACATGGTAATAATGATGGTTCCCATTCCTGCATTGCTTCCACACGTTAATATAACGAATGGTGCATGACTAAAATTGACACACGCCTGTAGAGAAGTAGAGAAGGGTGAAACTAAGGGACCACTCTGGTGTCTGCAGAATTTTGGGAGGATCACACTGTTTTCAGGGGGATCGGAATGGGGATCAGTAGTGTCTAACAGAGTATCAAGGCTAAAGTAGGAGGCTCCAGAAAATTGATTATCAATGAGGGCGGATCATTAAAATAACACAGAGCCTAAGAGGAGGATATTTCACTGTAACAACCAAAATCCTCTGAGAAATTTGGGAGAAAGTTTTCTGTCAATTTAAGACACTCAATCATAAGCCTTTTCAGAGCTCATCTAACCACCTTTTCCAGAGAGAACAACTCTTATAGTTATCTGACTCATTAATTCGAATTTAAAAGCCTTTCCTTTTCTCTGTTTGATTCATGAAAAAAAAAAAAAAAAAAAAAAAAAAGGAAAGAAAATGCTTGTTACTATCCCATTTGGCGACCTTACCGCTGACAAGGAGCCAACATGACCCTGGGCTCGAGATTAATACAAAACTTAATGTCAGCGGTCTAAATTCTTTTTGGCACGCGTATGTTATATGGCGCGAAATCGGCGGGAAATCAAACATGGCGAACTGAGCAGACTGTGTGACTCTTTATACTGACTGGTTATCATCTACTCGCCTTCATTTACCTCTCTTCAAGTGGTCAGCATCTTCGCGAAAGACATAAATATCATACGAACGGTATATCGTAAACAGTTTGCCACCAGAATTTAATTTCGTGCACACTAGGCTCGCAAGAAATCACAAAACTTGGATTTGGATAAAATGGTCGTTCCTGAGCAAAAACGAAATCTCCCCTGGTAAGTTGAGATATGAAGTAGATCGTCGTATGTCTGTAGGTCCAGCATGTCTCACTTATTTGCATTCCCCCTGATTGACAATGCTGATAATACATCGTGAATTATGAGCGACGCTAACACATGCTAAAAGGACATTTTGAGTCTGTGTACTCACAAAGAAATATTTTTGTTTGAGTCAAGGACACTGTTTTTAACTTAGACGTCATATTTAACGGGGAATGGAGTTTATTACTCCTGCATCACGTTGTGACAGTCTATGAAGTCAACAAGAGACGTTGAATATATGTATTCAATACAACATTTCCTAACAGGGTTGAGAAGTACAGACCCAACAGTTTGGAAGATCTAATCTCCCACCGGGATATCATCACAACAAGTAAGCTTATCTCCCTTGCGTTATCAGTAGAAGCACATGGAAGGTTTTACTGCAGTGTTAGCTTTGTGAATAGCGATTATCTCAGACTGTTTCTTACAATTATTTGTTATTCCAGTTATTACATAATAGGAATAGTCCATTTCAGTCTGTAATCATACATGTACGAGTGACTAGGAAAATCGGACAATTGCGAATTAGGAGTTTTATATGTTAATCATGAGTATGAATACCAACAGAATTGGAGGATGTTAAGTCCTGTTACCAATTAAACCCAGTTATGACAAATTTGAGAAAGAAACTAGGAATCAGTTATATGTTTTCATCAACAAAAAAACAGTTAACTTGGCGAAATGCAAGATAACAGCGTGACTGAGCAAGCAGATATGTCAGCCTTTTGCCATTTTCTGTTTATTTAAAGACTATTGTGTAACTAGGTAATTTAGTGTTAACAACTGAGTTGAAAATGTAAACTAGCCAGTATAGAGAGTGAAAAGTTAGCCCTTCAACAGAATGAAGGGCTAACACTCCAAACGTCAGCTTTTTCACTCTTTACAGTGGCTAATTTACGTTTTCAACTCAGTTGTTAATACTAAATTACCTGCTATACTCTCCCAACAATGCAGCACCACAGTTTCTTTAGATACTTACCCCCTTTATTGTGCAATTAACATGCATCTTATGACCATTATTAAGGCGTAAGATGTATGATTCAGTCTATGCTTGGATACAAGTGTTGTCAATGAAATAATTCTATTATAACTGTCAATAGTCAAAAGATTTATCGAGGAAGATCGATTGCCCCATCTGTTATTTTATGGTCCACCTGGAACTGGGAAGACATCAACCATATTAGCTGTTGCTAAACAGATCTACTCTCCAAGAGAATTCAACTCCATGGTTCTTGAGGTAAGAAAAGTGTTAAAGGGAAATGCTGTATACAAGTAGTGGCTACAGGAGATCATTTGTTTCTTCTTATTTTATATTCTCGGATTTGATTTTGAGAACATTTTTTTCCAAGACAGTAAAATTGTCAATTATTGAATAATGGGTAGTTAAGATTTGTTATGCAGTACTTCAAATCAAAAATGTTCTCTCAAAGTTAATTCAGGCAAAAGGTGTGAATTGACATTTATATCATAATGAAACAGGGAGGGTTTATAGTGCTTTCTGTTATTAAATCTCAGCAACTTGAAATCTATAATGTTCTTTTTTCAGTTGAATGCTTCAGATGATAGAGGTATTGGTATTGTTCGAGGAGCCGTTTTAAACTTTGCAAGTACAAGAACAATTTTTAAGTAAGTCGAGTATATTTAGAGCATACAGTGTAAATTACCAACAACTGTCTGCCGATGAGTTGTATGAATAGTATTAGAAGTTCAGTACTCATGATTAAATACTTCAGCAATACGATTTCTTGTACACTGCAGATCTGGTTTTAAAATTGTAATTTTGGATGAAGCAGATGCTATGACTCAGGATGCACAGAATGCCCTACGAAGAGGTACATGTACTACCTACTGAACGTAATCATTGGTTTGGTCAGTTGTTGCCTTGTTTTCTTATCTCAGGAAGGTTGCCTCCTTAATTTATTAAGTTTATTGCATTGTGGTTACTTTTAAGTATTTTCACTAAGTAGTGTAGCTAAAACCATAATTTGTAAATTAAAATTAAATCTGAATACCTCATATGAAAGAAACCAGTAATATTATATTGTGTTGTACTGTAGTTTCATTGTCAGTGGTTTGTTCTTTAGTTTGTTTGAAGAAGAACTGACTGCTTGTACATTCCATCTGTTGCCTACAGTTCACAATGTGCACCTTTTGCCATTCTCTTCCCTAACTTTGTTGTGTTCTACTTCATTCATTTTCTTTTAAAGCCTCAGTATTTTTCTTTTCCCATAAAGAATTTACAATTTTCCTGGTCAAAGCTCACCTTTTAAAAGTTGTGGAAAAATTTCCTTTGATTAGATACAAAAACAGAACTTGTATTCTCAGTCTCTTTAATCCTCTACACCGTGACATCATTATGCATACCCTCCATGCTGTTCTCTACACATTTCTTTGGTTCTAACAAGGTGAATTTGAAAACCATGAAGAGCTTCATCAGGTACTGATCATTTCCTGTATTCTCATGACTTAAAACATTTGATTCAAGGGATATATTGTAAAGAGAAATTAGAACCTTGTCACTCTAAGGAATTAAAGGGTTAATCACTGTTAGTTACTTGCTAAATTGTAGTTTGGTCTCTTTCCATCTTTCTTTGCAGTCATGGAGAAATTTACAGAGAACACCAGATTCTGTTTGATCTGTAATTATCTGACAAAGATTATTCCAGCTCTCCAGTCTCGTTGTACAAGGTTTAGATTTGGACCTCTTGATAATGAACAGATGAAGAGTAGATTGGAACATGTCATCAAAACTGAAGGGTAAGGTTCTTACAGCATTGATTGACAATAGATTAATTCTGATATTTTAAAATTCAGTGTGAAACAAAGACATCACTGTAATTCTGAGGAAGATTATCTTTCAACTCTATAGCTAATTTCTCAGAGCCTCACTTAGATGTCAAATTACTGATGTTGAATTTTAAAATATTAACGTTAATTTTCAGATGAATATAAAGGCAAATGGGGTTGTAGCCTAATTTAACTAGGGTTAATGCGCTCTCTTATTGAGTATTTTGATGCATACTCAGTGTGTGATTTGTTTTCAGAGTACAAGTTTCTGATGACGGAATGAAAAGTTTGGTCAGGCTGGCAAATGGTGACATGAGAAAAGCTCTGAACATTCTTCAGGTTAGTGCTAAGCTCTTGTTAAGTCTTAATTGTCTCTCCAGTCTCTTTTCATTTAAGTAAACAAAACTGTTCAATGGTGGTAACCTGTTTTAGTTGTCTCTTTTCAGAGCACTTCCATGGCTTTTAGCATTGTTGATGAGGTGAACGTATACACCTGTACAGGGCAACCTCTGAGATCAGACATTGCAAACATAGTAGAGTGGATGCTTAATGAAGACTTCAATACTGCTTATAGTAGTATCTTTTTGAACTGAACTAATTTCATTGTCTGGTGTTCAGTAAGGGGTGTTCTATGGAGCAAATAGTGCTGCCTTAAGAGAATTATTCCTTTTATGATAATTTCTGTGAGGCTGAGGTTAATATATCACATTGCCGCTGGCCTCAATAACCATTTAATACTTAACATGAAACTGTATGATTTTTCTCATGTGATGCTGCATGAAAACCTAAATTTCATACAATCCGTAACCACTATACAGATATAACAAAACTAAAGACTCTGAAAGGACTTGCCCTACAAGACATTCTCACAGAAGTACACCTGTATGTACATAGAGGTTAGTAGCTTAACCTAGCTTAAACTTATCTTCATATCTGTTCTAAACTACCACCACCACTAAGCTTTTCCCTTTTCTTTTTTTTATCATTTTCATTTCTTTGTCACATTATCTTCCCCAAGATCACACTCTCATTCTATTTGTTTTGCTTCTTTTTATTGGACTTTCATAACTTAAAGGTTTTACCTTTTCCCTTTCTAGTTAACTTTCCTCAGAAAATCAGAATTCACTTGTTGGAAAAGATGGCAGATGTTGAGTAAGTAGAATATCTATGCAGAAACTTGTACAAAATTTTGACAGGGAATTCATGTTTGCTCATTTGAAGCTGAGTTAATATGTTTGCTGAGAGCTCTCTCTGGCTCTATATGATATAAACATTATGTTGTTTTGATTAGCAGTTTTGATTGGTTTTGTATATGAAAAAGTTTTCTTATTTACAAGTAAGATAGAAATCATGGATAGCTTGTCACATTTTTGTCTAATGGGATATGCTAATTGTTTTCAGGTACCGTCTAGCAGCTGGAACCTCGGAGAAGATTCAGCTTAGTTCACTGATAGCAGCCTTCCAAGTAGCTAGGGATATGGTTACACCTGACTCATAGAAATAGGGGGGTTTTTGTGCCTGAGGTTCTTTCATGCCATGAGAAAGACTTTTAATGGACAAAAAATATTGTACAAAGACTTTGTTGTGGAATTTTATAGGTGTGAGGGAAGAGAAATATATGGAAAAAGCATTGGGCACTATTCAGTCAAGACAAATGAAGATGAATAAACAACTTCACAAGCTAATTTAACACGAATTGTAGTGTTTTTTGGTGGCCTTATACCATTTTTGTCAATCTGAAGTTATATATAACGTTACCTTCAACCAGTGTGTCCATGCTACCACTTAGGAGGTTGGGTTGTGTGATGGAACAGTTACTGCACTACTAAAATGTTCTAAGGGCATGTGATCCTTCCTTTTTTCATTATTATTAAACAATATGTCATGCCCCTCAAGGAGAACATAAGTGTAAGGGCCCCACTTTATTCAAAACTCTTTCCATACCTTGTGGGGCTATCAAGATGGAATAATGATGTCCAGTACTGTTGATGGGCAGAAAATAAAGCACTATGAAGTCTGTAGAGAAGGCCTTGCTTAATGTAAAGTATCGCAAAATTATTGAACACGTATACTGTAGCAATTAAAATATTACTTAAGTCATGTGCCTTTCTTCAAATATTTTTGTTTACTTGTGCAAATGAAATTCATTTGTAAGCTTCTTTGGTTAAGATAGGATTAAAGTTGTCAGTTATTCAGGATTACATCGATGTTCTTTAGCAAAGAGAAGGGAGTGCTCTCTTTCAAACTGGCTCAACTTGACTTGATCACACCGCGCCACTTTCTGAACCAATCACGACTTGGTCGCCTGTGTTTTCCCGCGCTTGAGAGAGTTCTTAGTTTTAGCTCTCAAGGTATTTTCCTCTCTTCTCATTAGCTGTTGTGATTACTTAAGTTTTAGTATTATGAATAGCGCTGTTAATTAGAATTAGGCACAGTCCTCTACTGCTAAAGAGACAAACGGAATACACTTGAAGATTAAGCACAAAAAAAACTGTTTTGAAGGTTTATTTGTCGAAAGTTTGTGCGTTATCTCTAGTGAGGCTCAGTTTTATATCTAAAAATATAAATTTTTTAATCGCAGTCGATGAAAGTTGGGCTTCAAAATGTTGCTAGGCAACATGAAGTCTGTAGTAGTCTTACACTTTTCCTTTTCTTCTGATTCAGTAAGGACTATTAATATGGCTACCTTTCTCGTTAGACGTAATATGATTATCGGCACCTTTACTTGTACAATTTCAGCGCTCAAAGCTACAAAGTCGACTAACTCCTCGTAGGTAAACATGCGAAAAAGTGTCAACTCCTCTATGTATTCGTAAAACAAGTTAAAAAGACTATTCGGATGTTATCAAAACGAATTCTATTTATCCCAAAATGATTAAAGAGCGATCTTAAACTAATCTAAAAAAGATCCATGCAGGACAAAAGTCATGGCAAACGACAGTCATCCAGTAACGAACGTGGCACACCACTGAATGGTTAGACAGGAATCACAGTTCGGAAATGTTGGGGCAGATCAGCCTTAGTTATTTTACAAGTGGTTTAAAAAGTGTTTGGAGGTACATTTGTAGCTAAGGGGTAAAAATTTAATGCAAGGAATGATACGAGCAAGCAAGTGAAAATAGATCAGCTTCAATCTCTACGCTCAGTTACCTGTCATGCATTTTATAAAAGTATAACTCCCTCTTTCTTCGCGTTGACCCAGGGTGAAGTAATGCTTCACACCCAACACGAGATAAAGTTCCTTTTTCCGAACACGTTGTCACGGTTTTCAAAAGGCTGAGTTGATGCTTTCTTATTGAGAAAGACGGAACCTTGGAGCCCGCAGGAAGATTGTCAGTAACGTGGCAATAAAGGAGAAGATGGAGATGATCAAAAACAGCCTGTCCAGCACACGCGCTGCCTTGATCCATTCCTTTTGGTTTTTAATCTTCTCTTCGGTCCAGTCAAGTACATTGCCTGTAAGAAACTGCGAGTCGACTTGTCGCGGCCTGCTACGTGTCGCTGATGAAGACCGCTTCTTTCCCGCCCGGCCGGAATTTGTATCCCGAGAACGAAAACTGTTGTTCCTTTTAAGCTTTTTGAAGCAGTCCTTTGAGAACCCGACAGTTTTGGTGCGAGTGTTTTGTGGCGACGCTGCGAGATTCAAGAACGAGTGATCCCCGTTTGCGGTACCGTTCGGAGAAAGCGTGCAAATGGTGCCAGACTCTTGCACGACCCACGTGGTCAAATTCTGATCGCGTCTCGTGCTCTTTTCTTGTTCGTATACATCTTCTTCGCAAAACTCTGAGTCACTGCAGGATACCCCCCTCTCAGCATCCAGAGCATTGCTGTTTTCAAGTCTTCGTCGAAGAACGCTTTTTCGATGGATTTCGTTCCAGTTCTTTGGTTTTTGACATGGAAACAGCACGCGCGCTAGACATTGAAGAATCACTTTTCTCATAGTCTTAGGCATTCGACGCCTGTTGCGATGGTAAAAATTTAAAATAAGCGTAGTTACAGCCAAGGAAAGACCTATTTCCAACATGATTGCGAAATAGAACTGTCCCAGGAGTGGAAAGCCGTACGAAGGCATGAGCTCGGAGCTGAGTTGCTGAAACACAGTCATTGCGAGCAGAACTGTGATACTCAGTCCAATACGTTCGCCTGACTCAGGTGGAAGAACAAAACCCAAAAATATCATGGAAGAAATCAGCGAGCATGGAATAATCAACTTTAGAATGTAGTCCAATGATTCTCGTCGGATTTTCACACTCACTGTTATGTCCACAAATTCGTGCGGGCAGCATTGATACTTGAGAGCATTTCTCTTCGCGGTCAGTTTCAGCATTTTCCATTCACCATTTTTGATGTAGTATGAGTTCAAGGTGCTGCCGTTTTTTACGGCCAAATCTATCTTTGCTCTGTCGAAGGCCCAAGAACCGAATTTTAATCGACATTCTTGATCGTCGAAAGGAAAGTTTGTGACATCCACGCTACAGATGCTTTTAAACATGGCGGGGTTTAGCCACGTGTTTTTGCCATCATATCGCAGTTCTACGTTAGTGGTATAAGTCGTCCTACCGCCTCCCATTCGCTCCTCTTCGTCTATACTGCAACGCAAGTAAAGGGAAACGTGGAGACTAAATAGGACAGTTAAGCTTTGAGAGAGACTAAGATTGTTATTTCTCCTTACAATATCACCCCGGAATCAAACATTGAGGTCATGAGAACAAAGCAAATGATCACAAATTAAAGAAACTCTTGATTGTTAAACAAACTCTCCTTGTCAGCACCTTAGGAAATACGCAGAGAAGGGCCTCAGAGAACAGTATGGAGAATATGCATACTGATGTTAGGTTTGCGTTGTCTGGATAACGTGAACGGTGACGTCTAATTTTTTTCAAATTTCTATTTCTAATTTAAAACTGTGTTCCATATTCAGTTTCGAGACAGTTTTGACAAAGAGAAACCAACTTAATGACTCTAGAGTATCGCGAGATTCGTAGGTAAAATATAAGTTCATTTTTTTTAATCGACGTTTTCCACGGCGTCGCCGTCGTCGTTTCTTAAACTCAATATCTTTTGTCATTGAATGGCAGTAAGGATATTCATAGCATCGTTTCTTTGCGTGGATCAGTTCAAAATATTATTTCACTAGGTGCAGAGCAACCTTAAATTCTCGGTAGTTAAAGGTGGTTTATGTCGAAAAAATGATCTATCGTCCTGGAAAATGATTGGAAGCATCGAACCTTCACTGAAAGAAGTAGTTCGACCCCGAGTTGTCCTTTCTCGGAAGGAACGCAAATCGGATCAGTGAAAACTTTGGAAATTGAGCCTATGTAAAACGACTTACTTGTTGTATAATAGTGTGTCAGGCACCCAGATGTCGCTTGGAGACACATGAATTTCCTCCACTCCTCCATATTCTTTTGGATCCCATTTTAGCAAACGGTTCTCCCAATACTACAAAAATTTCAAGAATTGATGATGGTCTTAGGATCATCATGTACGGCTTCACAGAGCTTACCATTGTCCATTAGATCAGTTGGATCTTTAAGGAATGTCAACTGCTGAGAGCATTGTGTGCGGGGCATTGGAAAATGAAACCTCAGACAGAATCACTTTTCTTTTCACACCATAGTCTATTTAAGAATTTTGGTGTCTATCATTAAACTTTTTTTGACGGAAACCCTCCTAAGAACTTCAATTTCCTTGAATTAACTTTATTCGTATTGGTTTTATGATAAATCACAAAAGATAGAAATCATCTCCTGTCGAGATTTACCTCTTAACGGGGACCGCGCAGCAAGTTTTTGAGTGGCGGGGAGGCTATTTTCGGCTCCGTTATTTTCGTTAAATTATTTTTTGTTTAATTTATTTTTATTTTTGCAAAAAAGTGGAGGAGCGAAAGCCCCCTAGCCCCTCCCTCTGCGCGGTCCCTGCTTCATCATAACCATTGCAATTTTCATTAAATGTGATCGATGCATTAGCAGTTAGAGTTGTAATCGGACACCTGTAGTTGGACAGTTGAAGCAGCCAATCATACTTAATCCTTTCACAGTCAAATCCACTTATCACATAATTGATCACAATAACCTTAGCAACAATCACTTATCCCAAAAATATTGTGGAATTTCCAAAGTTAAGGAATTTTTTACTTGAAAATTGTCTCTACTGCACATGTTTGTCCTGAATGTATTTTTTTCTGGGAAATTGTAACAGTTATGATTAATTGATAAAAGGACTTTGTGTCGTCCAGTCCTGTTTGTAATGATACTCGTAATTACAGACTGAATTGGACTCTACTCGGTCCTATCACCGTTATTAATTGGAAAAGATGGCCTATGAAGATGTATTTCTCAGACAACAATATGGCCTGGGGGTCGCAAGTTTTGTTAGAGAAACTTTTGATTGCAAGTAGGACCGGAAATTCGATTAAACACTCTTGAAGGTAACAAAAGTGTGAAACAAGTAAAGCAAATAGCACGACGACGAAGAAAAAGAGCAAAGAGCACGACGATTACTTAGCGTAATCAAAACGCAGTAGTTATGTCATTTTTCCTTCAGAACCACTAGTATACTAAAAGTTGATAGTTCTCCATACCTGATTCACCCAAGCATACGTGGTGATATACTGACTTCTTGCACTCTGTAAAATATAAATTCTTTAATTATTACCTTATTCGCGGCAGTTTCTTTAGATTTCCTGGCATAAAGCAACGTATGAGAGTGTTTCGCTGAACCTTCATTATATTATAATTAATTGTTAAGTATAACGCGCGCGCTGTTTATGTTTAATGTAGTGCGCGTGCACTCCGTTTGAATTCATGTATTGCAATAATTATCGCAATGTTTACCGCGTAAAACATTTGATGAAATACGTGTAAATTAGTTGTTCAGTTGTACAGGTTAGATTCAGCTTAGATAACCAGTGTAACCAGTGTAATTGCTAACCAGTTAGTGTAATTGCTAACCAATTATTTGCCACAATGTATGTCAAATACGGAGGCAGTCAAGAAGTAAGTTTTCAGTTCATTTCCAGGTTATTGCTGTTAATCTTCGGTTTGTTTTGAGCAATTTTAAGGCCAACGAAGTTTCTTTGTATTTTAGATCGAATTGTGTTATTGAATTAAACACGGTTCTATCTCCGTAATGGTTCTTTGGCCCTCTGGGCGAAGGAACAGGAGTATTGTTGATACCTTGGCTGAGATACTAGTGTATCACAAGTCTCGGCCCCACTCCTCACCCCGACAAATCCCAGGGTTTTTCATAAATGTTTTCTGTTTACTGTTGATAATCAGAATGGGGTCATCTCCTAGTACAAATTCCGAAAAGTTATCGTCAGACGCAGCCACCCTCCCACAGGAATGTAAACAAAAAAAGACACTCACCACATCAAGGATCCGAATAAGTTGAAAATCAAAAGTGACCACTACCGGACCTGTCCCTGGTAGCCTGGGGTGTGCATGCTTGTTATATCCTTTGAATAACTCCTTGTGAAGGCGAGTTTCATTCACTTCCAGTGCTCCGTTCACCATGAAAACTGAAATTAGATAAAGTTTAAACGAGTGCCCTTCTCGATTTCAGAGAGAGCCTGGGAAACTTCTTCAAAAGGATGCACGTAATGCTGTTCTTATGAATCAAATTAGTTACTAAGAGCATCGATCGATGACACTACGATAGCAGATTTTAAGTAGTCGAAGCAACAAATTCCTCTTCTAAGTACTTTACATTAGATAAACTGCATAGCAAAATGTCTTTTGGAGGGCAGCTGGAAATCGTTTTGGCCAATTACATTTTGGCCAAGAATTACGAGCTTGACTACTGAGCAGGTTATCAAAAATACTGCTAGGATCATGCCAACTTGCTTCAGTTCATATAGTACGTTTAATTGTTGGTCTTCGTGTTTTGTTATCCACATTTTAATCTAACCTGGCATCTAAATGTGCTGTTCATCTATTATGCAGCACTGATGAAGTTCAATTTCGTGTGAAGGCAGCTTTGTTTTAAAAACGATAAAAATGGCTCCTCCGAAGTACGGTTATTGGCATTGAGTTACAACACTAATTAGAAAAAAGAGAAAAATCTTTCTCTTTTCGAAAACGGGGTATAATACATATGTATAAAGAGATGCCCTCCGTGTCGAAGGTTAGTAAGCTTTGATACGCAGTTGTGAAGGCCATACAAGGGGCTGACATAGAATACAAAGTGAGAAGCTAGGAAATACCAAAATATTCCTACCTGTGGAGCGTAAAACGACAATAAAGAGAACGATATCATTGCACCTCATCTTTTTTCCTCTCCTCAAGACGGTGGTCTGTTTACTGCAAAGAAAAACGAGAGAGTTTATCTCCCTCTTTCAAAATGACCAGACAGAGAAATTCAACTTCTAAAACAGCTGTGTCTGTACTTGAGCAATTCAGATAAATTTGAATATCTCTGAAAATTACAAAGGTAAGTTTGGGTTCTATCAACCGTGATGCAAATCAGAAAAACAATTAACAGCGTCATTTGAGAGGAGGACTGCTGGCAACGAAGTTTAATTTATAATTGGGCTCAGAGTACACAGGAGGCAATAACGACATCTTGCTTAAAAAAGTTTAAACTTGAGCAATAATGAAAAATTTGAAGAGTTGAGAAAGATGTCAACGTGAATTGCTCATTCTATGCAAAAAGCTCACTAGGTAGCTTTTCCGAAGACTGAGAGAAAAACTGTTTTTCTCCAGTTGTAGCGTTCCACTTCAGAAAATAATTATGTTTTAATCTTAGGTTCGTTTTTTTTTTTTCTGTTTACATTCGTAGTTTTTAAGCAATATGGAAACCATGACTATCAGTCAGGGGCTTTTTAATAACTGCCCTCCATAACTCTCATTGCAAGGAAATTTTTCACACCATTTTTTTTAGAGCTGTTGCATTTCTAAGTAGTGTAGACATCATCATGTTTCCTAAGAGTTATTTTTAACTTACTTTATGTGAAGCTCAGAATTCCCAATATAGGGAAAATAACATTCCTTAACTAATCATGTGATGTCAGACACGAACCATGAAGTAGCTACTTTAAAAACGCTCCGTAAGTAATATGTTTCTCAGAAGTTCTTACCGTTTGGGCGAAACGAAAAGTTAAGTATGCCTCCAAAGACCTTTGATTCTGTATGAAAAGCTGAAGCTATACGAAATCAGCTTTTTTCACTTGTGTTTACCATGTACCATGCCGTTAAGCAGCCCCCAGCCGGGAAGATGTTAGTGCGAGGTTAGATGAAAAGTCTTTTTGGTCAATTTGCGTCTTTGTTCTACACGAAAAATTGTCATGGGTCACGGTTTATCATAGGTTCGGCGACCACAAAGAGAATATTCACATAGACTTGTTTGGATGGTCAGTAGAGCGCATATAGACTACAGTCTCGCCATATGCAAGACATTTTGTATTTTGGCCTTTTGGTCTTTTGCGTTGCCTGTTTAGGTTCAAATCCTGAAATCCATACCCGGTGGTACATACCCACCGCGGCCAGATAAGGGAGTGCTGAGCATCAAAAGAAGTACGTGATGGATCTACCCTGGATGCTTTCCTGTCCTTCCTCATATGCGAGGTGTTGAAAACAGAGGTGATCGCTTTAATAGATCTCGGTTACTGTTCAGCACCGCTATTCACTTCATTCAAACGAAATCTATGTTATAAATTTCAACTTAACGAAAATAAAACACGGATAGACTAAACTACCCCCTGACTCACTTGGCGACGAAGGTCCTCATTTTTCTTTCAAAGCAACACACCGTAGATAGCTTTCTTTTTGCAAAGCTTTTTGAACGTCGAAAATTCAAGGTTGAAAGAGCTACTTTTTGAACAAACCATGGCAATTCGTCCAGACCATCTTGCGGAAAGTGGTACGTGTTTTCAAGCGAGGACAATTGGTAAAATGTTAGTATCGGAGTTTTTTAATTAAAAATCATCGTTTCTGATGGTTCTTGGTCGTGCCTGCAGGTGTTGCAATGAAAACTGTAGCACGCTAAAGATCTTAATTGTTTTTGTGCAATGTTTCTCTCCAGAAAATTGTTTAAACTTTCATTAATATTTCAGCGACTATTCGACTTCCTTCAAAGTTATTCTTACTTGGCAAAACCTTTGAATAGGGGGTCTCCCTGATTTTTTAAGGTGATTTTAATTTTTAAAAGATCGTTTGAATTATATCTATAGTTATCTTTCCGCGGTTGGTACCCTGGAGGGTGATTGAAAACCAGCGATAATGTCTTCCATTCCGTGTCTGTTACTTTTCAGCTGTGGGTTTTGTGACAATCTACTCATCAAGAACTGGCCTTACATAAATTTTTCCTATTGTGAGAAAACAATTAAAAGATAACACTTCTCCTCTGACTGAGTCTTTATCACAACGTTTCTAAATAACAAAAAAAAAGTACATTTTGTGTAAAGAAGTTACTAGGTACTTTGATATTTAATACTTGTATTCGTAACTGCTAGATATTTCAAAGCAATTTCGCAAGAGGTATGCGATGCAAAGGTAAAGTTAATTTTTTTTTCCAAATTAACATACCATATTTTGGAATAAGAACAAACCACAACTTAAGCGGTACGTGAAGAGGATTTCTTAAAAACCTTTTGCCTTCAACATTGTAATGTAGATGTAAACATAGCCTTAACAACACTATAAATTAGGCAGATTTTCTTTTTTTGCGATAAGTTCATATCATTTCTTTGTAATAAAGAATCGTTGTTTATGTGTCGTTCACACTTATATATTGCCAATTGCGGTTTTTTAGACGGGTGGAACCTATGTTTTGAAAAATGTATTTGTAAATACAAATAACTTAAAAGTATTTGGGTTATAAAATAAATTTTGTAGAGACGCCAGTTCTATTGTCATGCTAAATATTTCCCAAGGCAATGTAAACCAGTTCCAAGATAACACCTTTAGGGAATTGAATATGCAAAATTTTAAAATCTATGATTCAAAAATATATACATATATCTGGCAAAACTAAAGCGCAATTTGAAGTTAACTTCTGAACTTGGCTAAAAAAATGTTTACACCGTTATCCCAACCATACTGACATTCAGTAAATTGGAAAGTCTTTGTGACGACAAAAACAATTTAAAAGCACTTGTCTTCTCTTGCGTGCATTAAAGACGTTTAAATTTCGTCTTAACGGCTTATAGATAAATTCAACGAATGTCACCATATGAAAAAATTAAGAGTGACTCTGGCTGTTGGCTTCGTTACAAAACTGACTTTAATACTACAGATCACGTGAAAAGTCAGTGAGTCATGGCGCTTAACATATGAAGGGCTGAAAATTGTACTCCTGAGATTCATTCCTAACGCATGTAAAAATCTATTTAACGTAACTGAAAGTGTTTGTGTGATGGTGAATAAACAACACGAAAATTTTCAGAAAATTACTGCAACATTTCTCAAGTTTAACAGTTGCTCCAGAAGCGCATAAACATGGAAACCTCAACGTGCAACTAAACAAGATTGTACCTTACCTTGCAATTGATTATTTGCAGCAAATAAGTAGCCACAGAGAAGGCGAAACGAAAAAAAAGAGGCCTAATGATCCTCAATTATCAAGGTTTCTGACTTATTGAGCTTCCTTGCTATCAAATTTACTCTATAAGGTGATGGATGTTTCCTTTCAAAGTGATAGCTTTTTTAGGGGGAGGAAACTCCAAGGTTTAAAACAGTTAGGAATGCGAGCCATTCACCTGCTCATCACGGAGAATTGACTCGAATGTTGACAATGCAATCGATAGAAAATAAACCAAGTAAGCTAACTAACAATTAAAATGATGAATATTTTATGAACATGTAAAGCAGAGTAACTGATTGGATGAAAGATATACGAAGCTCGAGGCTCTTAACATATCGCACTGAGTTGAACACATAACAAAGGAAATTCGCCTCTTTAGCTGGCAGCTAACATCACGTTGTTCAAAATATGAGGTTCAACTTGAAAATTCATTTTTCTTTCCCCGTCGAGAATAACATTCAGCTGGTATTCATCACTTTAAATATTTCTTATGACGACTACAGCTTTATCTTTATCGAGCTTTAATCTCTTCAAACTCTGTTTGAAACTGAAGGAAAACTCACCATGTCTAAACAAAAACACTCACAATGAAAACACACCGAATAAAACCAAGCCCTCATTCTGAAACAAAGTAGTTAGCCTTTGTTTTCGTCATTATCGGAATCAAAATATATTACCAGTCTTGAGGGAGGGGGTTGTTCGAAAACTCTGCATGTTGCCGTTTTGTTGTTAAGAAAATTCTTACTCGTTTTAATTTTTAAACATCAGATTTCAGTAAATCTTTTCGCTGCGTAATTGCGGTCCCTCGCCAGTGTCAAGATTTCCATTAAAAACCCACTCTCAAAAAGGTATCTCTAAAGCACTTGAATAAAGGTGAAGATTTTATTTAATCCATTATGCAAAAAAGAGAGCGTTAAGGATTGATTAAGCTTACCTTGAAGAATGCTGTTTGAATCGAAACAGGCGAAAGTTCTAGACTTTTCCTCACCGGGGGCGACGGCGCTAAAAAAGAAGCAACACTAACGAAAACTCTGGACAATTGAAATCTGTCTCGGTATTCCAGCCAATTTATGAGTGTTGACGTGGTGTGTAGACTCTAACAGAGCAAGTTCACAATATTGAAAGTGATCCGGGATTATAGCGCTTTTATATTACCTCGCTTTGTGATTGGTCCAGAAAACTTCACCCTCTAAACCAATCAGATACAAGATTAAAACCAAACGGAGTGACGTTTTTTCAGGTTCAGCTTCAGGCAATTTTAATGGTTTGACTTAAATTCTTATTCAGGTTTCTCATGATGTTTGCTTTGGTTCTGATTAGCTGTTGGGATTGCTTTGGATTTGTCACTCGCAATACAATCTTAACTTTAACGACGCCTATACGGATGTGACTGTGAGCAATGCCTAGAACGACTAAATTCTCTCTGTTTTATCTCACGACCTGCCTGGCCCCACTCCCACAAACTTATGAAATAACCATTATGAGAACTGACGTGTATGGGGCCGAACGGGTTTGACGTGAGCCAGTCTGAAAAAGCCGCCAGGAGCCCCACTCAAACAGCTATTACAATTTCCAAGGGCATGGATTCTAATGATGGATTGACCTCAAAATAAAACAAATATGAGAAATAAGTGGATGGTCGATCTTGAGGTCATGACGTACTTGGTCCGTACGTCATGACCTCGAGATAAATATAATTCAGTTCGGCCCTCCCACTCAGTCAGTAAGTACGTACATATTACCTTTTTTTGCGTGATCGGAACTCTAATAAGGGAGGTTTGTGAATGATACATGTGAATGACGCATTTTTGTGATCCAAGTCTGTGATATTGATGCCATAAACTTGCCATTCCTCTTTTCCAAAAAGACTTAGTTGCTACGTGCGCTCCTGTCTTTCAAAACTCCTGTCTTTTGACTTGGTGGTAGAAATGGCTCTAAGTTTGGCTTTGGCTACAGAATGCGCTCTCCATCGGTGTATCAGCGTAATTTTGGGAGAACACACTCCTCAAAACCTCGAAAGTCACTCTTACTAGTACGTGACTTGCGAACATTCCTCGTCGTTACCTCAACATCGAGTATGGGTTCTGTTGCGAAGCGGAAGCCTTGATCTTTTGTTAACTCACGCAGTGTTGCTATTTTTTTGTTAGTCGTTATTCTGATCGCCTAAGGAATCTACCTTACCTGTGTACGTGCGTGCTATAAATTCGCTTCTTGGCAAGCATATGCATAGACAGCACACGTGTCAATTGAGATCTCATGATAATTTCCAAGCTCTTCAAGCCAAAGTCACGGTATTAAGACCACAAACGTGATTCGTCTTGTCTTAAACAGAAGTGCACGTGAAATTAACTTAGTGGATCATATCATCTCACTATGCGTCGAACCGAGTTTTAAGGCTAAGCCAAGGAGGTTAGGCTCCAGTAGTGCTTCGACGTATCGTTTAAGTAAGGGAACGTGAAAGGGCGAGGAATTCCTTCCGTCAACCACACCTTCAAGGGATCGTCTTCTTTATCAACTGCGCTCTTATCTTAAGCTCAGCGATAAAAACCTCCCGCAAAGCATGATTTGGTCAGTGTTGCCCCCTTTCAAGCCTGTATTTAACAAAATTGGTACAACAGAGAATAAAAACCATAGATTCCCAGTTTGCGCTTCATTGCATTTCTAAAGCCGGTAAACTGATAGCATGCCGTAATAACCGTGTGGAAGACTAAAACTGCAACAACCTGCTATTTGGAGGTGATTTATTTATTAAGTTCTACCGATGTAAATCCTCTCGACAAGTTTCTCAAAGGAGACAGACCCAGAAACTAGGTGGATAGCAAATAACATCCTCTCATGACCAATTTTTACTTTAAATATTAAAAAATATTAAACGCCAGGCTGAGAAGCTGGAGGAAAAAGGTCCGTCTCTTATTTAATGATCAACAACAATGTTCGCAATTGATCCTGTGAAGCGAAAAACGCCGACCACTGGTGGAGGAACAGGTGTCCAGTTTCTCTTTTCTATAGATGTTCGTCGTTCCTGTTATTATCTACAACACTATCATAACACATATGGGCTACAAAATCCTCATTGGTGATGGTTTGGTTTTTGCATTCTCCTAAGGCCTCGGCGAGATGTACAGCCAACAGATGCTTGCACTGTTAGAATTATCAAATAGAGACAAGTTAGACGTCATCAAAACTTTATGGGGGCTATACCCTTCCTTTGTGTATCTTTAAAAAAAAATGGCGGCTTACATTTTTCATGTTGGAACTACTAGTAGACTGTTGTTCTGTCATTATTGGGCGACACCTTTGGCTCCTTAAGGCACAGAAATATAAGGACGATGAAGCGTGTGGTATCGCTAACGTGTACATGGCGTGTTAACGCGTATTACTCTCGTATCAGACACAATGCTTGTAACTTCACGCGGATAAGTTTGATAAAAAAGGCACGCAAGCGAGTGTGTAAAAATGTGTTAATTACACGCAGAAAATCAACTGGAACTTATCACAAGCGTGTACTGAGGCAAGAGTGTATGTAAGATGACAAAAAGATTGGATTCTGAATTCAACGTAAGTTTCTTACGGACGTCCGGGCGAGTTTATGAACTATGTATGGTTCCTTGAAGATTCGCGTTATGAATACAGACACTGAGATATAAAAAAAAGACAACAACGGTGCAACGATCTACTTGCACCGTTTGCACTCTGAACACACCGCTTGTAACGTTAATCGGGTGTCATAAATCAGTGATCACAACGGCCACTTACAAGAAAGGGCTCTGAGGCAAGAAACCATTGAAAACTGAAAACAAACAAACTGCCTAAAGCGCGAGGAATAGTGAGTGACTTAGGCATAATGGTTACGACGAAGCTGCAAATTTCTAGACCAAACAGAGTATAGTGAGCCAAAAATCAATGAAATCCTGTCTTGTCTCGAATTACTTAAAATTCTTCATAATCTTCATTCTATGTCTGTCATTGCTCACCATAAGTGATTCCATCTTGACTAACACTAACAAGACAGAGAGGCACATGTAGAAAAAAAAAGATTATTAGAACATGTGCATAAATTTGCTAACATCCCAAGTTAGCTGAGGGACTCTAAGAACCTAAAATTCATCCCCAGTATTCATTTGCAAGGTTTTGGATGACTCTGTGAGGAATAATCGTCCATTTCCTCACATATTGCTTTCTTTAAACTCATGATTAATTCCAGTAAGTCACTGAGTCTGCCAATAACACCACAGCCATTCAGTGGTCTGCAAACATGCAGTTGGTTAGGCTATATAGTTTGTTAATTTCTTCACCTAACAGGGTGGTACATCTTCCCGTGGAACACTAGACAGTTTGTGGGTTAGTTAGGGTTAGTTACATGTAGTAACTCATCCAGTCCTATGATCAGTCAGATCACTTTGTGAGTCAGTTCAACAATCATTCAGCTTATCCACAGATATAAAGTAAGTAAGTCAGGTGGGCAGTCATTTTTTCAGCTAGTTCTGAGTGAAACCATCAGCCTTTGTTTCAACCAGTTCTATTAGTTTGTTGACAATTTGTCACTAAGTCAAGTAATCAGTTGAATATTTAACACATCAATCAGTTTGTCAGTTGATCAGTTGGTTTATCTGTCTCTCATTGAATATTGAATGAATCTTTCAAACTGTTAATAAATAAGTCAATGAGTCAGTTCATTAGTTAGTTGGTCGGCTTGTAAGAGAGTCACTGGTATTTAGTCAGTTAGTATTTAAGTGATGCAAAGTGCCTCCTATAATGTCAGTCACAAAGTAACATTCATATTCTTGAAATCTGCCTTTGAATTGAATCATATACAGACACAAATTATTCACTTTTGTGTTATTAACTCTTTACAACTTAAATCCAAGTCAAACCTGTGAAAGTGTAAGAGGGGCAAGTACAATAGTCTCCAGATATAAGGCAGGTGTAGAGTGTGTTGGAACTACCCACAACCTGAAAAGAGCAACACTCTTACATTACTTCATGTGAACTCTTTACACCTAAACATTAGACAAGTATACATATTCTCCCAGCTGTTCTCCATACATTTCCTAAGCGGCTGACAAGGAGAATTTGAGAGCTTCTTTAGTTGGTGATCAGTTCATAAATTCTCCTGATCTTGAAGTGTGACTCAGAGGTGGTATTGTAAGTACAACTTACTCTTTCTTTGAGGTAAAAGTGTTATAAGAATTGACTGTTGGTTTATAATTTGTTACCTACAGAGCAACTATGACAAAAGACATCATTCAATCTACTACAGATCAGTACATCAACCATGGCTTCCAATGGAGTGCATTTTGATTGAATGCTGTAAATCCAAAACCAGAGTGGTTACAATTAGGCCAATCAGAAGAAGAAAAGACACCTTTAAGAGCCAATGAGAACTCAAAGTAAAACAAACCAAACTGATTGAAGTACAGCAAAATGCAAGCAACCAAGTTGTGCTTGGTTTCAGTTTTGTGTTTGATTGGTTGAGAGAGTGGTGGACCAATCACAGAGTGAAGCAAAGCAAAAATAAAGCAATCTTGAATCATTTTCAACACTCAAATGAAAATTGCTAAGGTACACGCAGTCTTGAAGGCTTTTATCTTCTCTTACTGACCTGATATAAAACCCTTCCACTAGGAGTTGTTAACTTTGTAATGTTCTTCCTATCTATCAAGTCTAAAGCATGTAACAGTGGCTGGTGGAATACAAAGTGTAACCTGATAAAAACAAAACAGATGCAGTGTCAAACCTCAGAAACCTCATTATCAAACACAAACACATGATTTTTAGCAGAGATTAATAATTTTAAAAAACCTTCAAAAGTTATGCTTTTCGTTTACACATTCATGCATCGCAGACACATGCCATACATTCAGCGCATTTCATACACCTTTGTACAAGTTCCTCTCAAGTTTCCGACAGTCGCTGATGTCACCTTTTACAGTGAGTCATCGGGAGTTTCACTTTAATGAAACCCTCATCCTATGATCATGGAAAACAAGGAGACTAACCACAAACTAATTATTATATAATCAACTCGTTGCAAATCGATACTTACGCGGAAAGTATTTCATCTGTCACTGAAACGACAAACAAAACAACAGGAGAAATGAAACTTTATTCAGTAAAACTATGAGTAGACAGAATGTGTCTAGAAATCAATTAAAAAAGGGAAAGACGCTAGTATTTGATAAACCATGGCTAATGCCCCGTTCACACCAAAGCTTAAACATGTTTAAAAGTTGTTTTGTTAAACACAGTTTAATTTTTTTTTTCTTCATAGAAACTATTTAACCGAATATTTTTGACTTGAATGTAGCACATTGGAAATGCAAGTTAGCAAGTACTTGAATCCAATGGAAAATCAAGTTTTTCAGTTCTCTGTTTATAATTTTCATTCAATGAAAACCAGTTTAACAAAACATGTTTTGCTGATGTGAATGGGGTATAAGATGATCAGGTACTTTCTTCAATGACATCTTAACTTCCACACACACACAAAAGATGAAAAATGAAACACTCACGATGACCATGCTCCTCTTTTGCTAGGCGAACTTCGGAAAATAGTTGATCTACAACATGCCGAAGTGACAAAGCCATTCAAACGAAATAATTGTGAGTTTGACAACTCTGACGAGCTCTTAGTCCGCCATGGTTATCTTGCTGGTAGTCTCGTACCCAGGATCTCACCTGAAAGGCATTTGCTCCAGACCCCGCATTCTGAAGAGCAGTAGCAAATCCAGGGGGAGAGTGTGGGGGTCCTTACCTCCTAGCTATCAGACGTACGCGGATTTTTATTACTAAAATCCTCTCACCGAAAGAATCAAATGTTAAATACCCACCTTGAAATATTTAGAATTTACTTATCTTGGAAAATTATTTGACTTATAACTTTGACTTCATTGATGAATTACCTAGGATTGGGAATAAAGGACACTTTGTCATTAGTTCAGCAACCTGACAGAGTTGTGCAAAAGGGGAGTAATGTGTCAGAAGCTCATTAGCATTATAACACACACATGAAAAAATTAACATGATTTTCATTTTGCATTTAATTAATATAGATAAGAAACTAGAAATTCTTGAACAAAGAATACCAAGTTTGAGATCATTCTAACCTGAAATCCATTTTAACTTACAATGGAAATATCATTTGTATGAAATGGACCATTTTTATTAATTTTTCAGACAAATGATGAAATTTCAATAGGGTAATTTAATATTATTGACTATGTTGATAATGTTAATTGGCCACTGTAAAGAGTTAGAAAGCCAAGGTTTTGAACATTAACCCTTGTCTGTGCTCTGCCAGAGGGCTAAAGCTTGAAACATCAGTTTCTTAACTCTTTACTGTGGCCAATGTACATTATCAATTCAGTTGATAATACTAAATTACCCTGTTACACTCTCACACTGATGCAGCACCACAGTTTCTATAGAAACTTACCCCTTTATTGATGAAATTAAAAGTTTTCTTTATTTATTCATGCATTTCAGTTGATAGATGAAGAGTGTATTCAGTAAATAATTAATAAATCATTAATCTTTAAATGACTGGATCAAACTAAAACATACATTAGACCTATAAAATCTCCCAGTAGAGCCATCAACTCCATGCCTAATTTGCCATGGGTGATATCTAGTCAAACATAAAATTAAAAATCTACAGATAAAAATTATTCTAATTCTCAATAACATTCAAGGTTCACCCTAATAAAACTGTTTTACTTGAAGGTTAACCAAGTTTTAGGATTTGAGATCTGAATCTTGTCAACTAACTCCCGAGAAATTCCCCTCATCAGCATTTTTGGTACTGCATTCTTTTGTATGTGCGCATACCCATGGCCACCATACTTTACTAGGCGATGGCGAGTGTGTACATCATGTGCAATGACAATCTTATCTTCATAGCCTTCTGAGGCCAAAAATTTAATATTCTGGATTCTCTGTGCATCACTGATGCCATCCACAGCATAGTTAGGCTGATAGTATGACAGTTCAATACCAAAAAAGTCATACTCCAGATAAATCTCAGTAGCTGCCAACTCCAGGAGTTTTTCTCGATCAAAAATAGTGCGATCAAGATGACTCATGACAGTTTTATTGATGTCTGCTCCAGCTTCTTGAAGAATTCTGACAATCTCCATGGGTGATGACTCATTACGTCCAGGGTGGATGATCAGAGGAGCACCAGTTGAAGTCTGTGCTGTGGCAGCTGCTAAGAGAGACCTCTTCTCTGTGGGCTCCAATGGCCAAGAGCAGCCGATTTCACCAATGACACCACACTTTATTGATGTATCACCAACACCTTCAGTAAGTTCTTTGACCATGGTCTAGTAAGAAAGAGAAAAATAATTATTCATTGACTGTACAAAAACTGGATATCACCCGTTGAAATGACAAGTACTAAGAAAGAAAAAAAGGTGAAGGACTTCCCTCAAGATCTGACAAAACTTCTCTGTATTGAACATGTAGGTGATAAAAAGTGAATTAACCTTTGAAAGCTCTTCAACTGATGAAGACTTTACTTCTGCTGGAAGAGTGGAGTCTAAGTAGTAACCTGTTCCAGCAATAATATTCAGGCCAGTTGCCGATGCTGCTTTGGCAAGGTATTCCACATCCCTTACAATACCAACTGTAGTCACTTCGACAATACTCTGGCCACCCTCCTGCTTAAAATAGTTGAGTTCTGCCATAATATCATCAAAGGGCTCATCTCCAAGAGCCAAGTTTAGTTTATGGCTGTAGGGATTCTGCTGTATCCACCCAAGATTGGCCATAGTGAACTCTGAATTTGCCATTTTGTCTGCATCAGACTCCCTCAAGGGTGGTCTCAGGCAGCATTTGTAATCCATCTTGATGTGTTCATGGGTGAGGGTGCGGCCCAAGGCACTGGGTGGAATGGGACCAAGGACAGTTTGGATCTGGCCTGATGCCATCGTTTAACTTGCAAGAAAATCACAAATTAATAAGGTGGGTATATCTTGAAGAACAACTTTGATGGAGGGCAAGCAAAGAGGCATGGAGCCAGTCTTAAACCTATCACTCCTATGAGTCACCAAGACAGAATTTCTCCCTATATATCAATACAATATTAAGCAGAGTAGTGATGAGAACAAAGAAAATATCAGTTTGGAGATTAATTAGTAGTTGATCCAATAAAGAATTCTCCAAACCAACATCATAAGAATTGTATGGCAGACAGTAACAAAAATTACTACAGTTTTGTTGAGAGTGAAAGGGTTAAATGGATTTTAGTAGGTGTTGTGCCACTAACGCGTAACGGCTTCAAACCCTGACCCCTCCCCCGCTGCGTATGAGGCAAATCTGTTCATTTCCTCACCCATTTTAATACGACAAAGAAAAATGTGTTTTGTGCCGATCAACCTGGGCCATGCCATGTCTAATGAACTTAGAGTGCATTGTGGTAAACAATTCCTTGCACCATTAGCACTGCACTGAACTGAGATTTGAATTTTTCTCTTTCAAATCTTGATGCGTGATATGTTTAAAGCATTCGTGACGCGTGAATATTTTTTTCAAATTCGTGCATGAAACGGGATCAGGACTTCCTGTATGCCACACTCCGGTAAGCGTTCGCACTTAAGTTCATTCGTTTAAACTTACGGAATGATGAAGCGATAGGTAATAAGGGTCAAAATGGAATCATGCTGGATGGTGAGGGTCGCACTCAAAAACGCTGAAATTCATTTCTTGCTAGAGATGTTCTCTTCATCACTTCGTATTTCCTCGAAATATCTCTTGTCCTAGCTCTTCGAAACCTCAGCACCCCAAAAAATGGCCATTCTTGGAGAAAAATGTACCTAAAAAAAAACGATCACTAACCTTAGTAAATTTCCCGTACGTAAGTTCTTAGCAAATTAGCGTAGTGTCTTACATGTCTTGCTAGAGCGTGACGATACAGTAAGAGACAACCCTCCTCCCCTCTCTCCCCACTCTCCAAAACGCATTACAGATGCGCAGTAGCTTCTCTGAGTGACATCGGAAAAATGGCGGCCGCTTGTGCGAAATACATTGAGGACCTGATCTCAAAATTAAACCCGAAATCAGACTCCAAAACTAAAAAGTCTCTAATTTCTTTGACAAAAATGACTAAGGACAAGGATAATGTTGATGTTTTTTGCGCAAAAGGTGGTTTGAAACGACTGGTAGCTCTTATCCAACTGCCGAATAAAACAATCGCTGACATGGCGTTAAGTGTGCTGGCCAATTGTGCTCGTCAGGAACTAAGCAGAAGAGAAGTAAGTTACCGTAGGGTCGAAATTGCGTACAAAAGTTCTCTTTAGCTAATTCTATCGCGTCTCGTCTGTTTTGTAGATAAGGAGACTGGACGGAATAGCAGTTCTTGGTGAGTACATACAAAATCCAACTCTTTGTGATCTACTGTTCTCTTAAAAAACCCCATATACATAGTTGCTTGGGAAAAACAAATCTCGGAAGTATTTCCGTGTAACTACATGATATACTGAAACAAAGGCGTAGTCCCATACTAAATCTATTGTGTTGGCATTGTTTTCTTTATCTAAGACTTAACCCTTTAACTCCCAGGAGTGATTAACATGTAACTTCTCCCTATAATATCCATACCTTATCTAGTAAAGAGATAATGAGAATTCTCAAACTTATCAGATACAGGTTTTTTTTGTCCTGATCTAACACCAAATTCTCATAACTAAGTTACAGGGAAATGTGTAGCAGCTAGAAGGGAGAATTTACAATCAGATCTTGGGAGTTAAAGGAGTAATGGTATGCATAATGTAGTATGGAGCTGTGCAGAATTCAAAATCTTGCCAAAATCTTTCTTATCAAAGATCATGCAGATTGTTTAGAGGTGTGCGTAAAGATATTTTTCCTCTTGCTAGACAGTCTGGAGATTGGCCTTTTACAAAGACCTTGCGGTATTTACATGTAACTAAAATTAACTTTAGCCTTTATTTTGGCGGGAAAGCATGCAAGAAGATTTGCCAGTGGACTTCATCTGTTCTAAGTTCAGTGATCAGTTTCCCAGAATGAAGCTGAACTAAAGCTGCAAGCTTCAAGGAATGGGTAACATTGTAGGGCAAATAAACATGCATGATGGAGGTTATCCTGTTAGCTGTCACTTTAATATATAGTTGACTCCCACTCCTGTAGCAACTTGGACCTTCATGGGAAATTGAAAGTGGTTTGAGTTATTGGGAGGTTTTTAAACTTTTATTTATTACTAGAGCAGCATGAAGTTCAAGGTAGCTAGGGTTACTTATTTAGAGATAAAGTATATTTTTTTCTTCTTTTATATTCCCTCAGCTGAAGTTCTAAAGAACAATGTGAAAACCAGCATTTTAAACAGGACATCTAGAGCATTAGCCAACATGGCAGAAGATGAGCTTAGTGTACAGGTCATGGAGGAGCTTGGAGTTATTCATGAACTTGTTAAGCTTTTAACAAAGACATCTGATAGTGATTGCCAACAGTCCATCATAAGAGCATTGAGGATGGTGTGCACAAATCCAGCTAGAAAACAGGCCATAGTGGATTTAGATGCTGTTAAAACCATCATGGAAATCTTGCAGTCCCAGAAGCCTTCACTTGTGAATTGCTGCATAAAAACTGTTGCAGAGCTTACCAAGGAATGTAGTAAGGAATTTGCTCAGCAAGTTCAAGATTGCGGTAGTGTCAAATACATTGTTAAGCTAGCTAACAGTGAACTTTTACAAGTGAGGAACTCAGCCACTCTGTCCTTAGCAAACTTAGCCCATCACGCTCATGTGCGTGTTTGTATAGGCAGTGAAGGTGGGATAGAGGCTTTGACTAAGCAACTCAAAAGAGATGAGCTGGAACATGTTACTGTCAAGGCAATTGAAGGACTCTGCTATTGTTGCAGAGAAGGCATCAATCGTGTAAGGGTTCGTGATTCTTCAGCATTGGAACTATTATTGAAGATTTTATTGTCAGGAAAATGGCTGTCTCTTGAGAAAAAGATTGTTTTTGCATTTGCACAGTATTGTCACAGCGAAAAAGACTTGGAAATTCTCCTTAATGGAGAATTAGTTCGTGGTCTAATTAATCATCTTAACAGGATCATACATCAAATTCAATCCAGAAGTGACTTTGAAGATCATGATGATGGTTTTACAGATCACCAATCATTTACAGCAGACTTTTATACAGATTACTCAATGAGGACAAACACAGTAAGAAGCTCTTTTTCTGATGTTAGTGCAGAGGCACTGAAGGATGAAACTTTCCTCAAGAAGCTGGAAGAAACAGCAAGGGAGGTCACCGACACTAAAGTGACAGGGCGACTTTCAAAGTTCAAAAGGAGACTCAAACTAAAGCCATCACCCATTCCGACTACCCCTCCTCCAGGTGTGTGTACCATTGGACAGTCTGTGTTCAGTTTTGCTGCCAGACAGACTGATACAACGACATTGGTGTCAGTATGCACCTTTTCTCGCAGTGTTTCATCTCTTGCATCCTCCTGGCATGACCTTGCAACATTGTCAACAGCAAGTTGCCCGAGAGTGTTGTCGTCACATCAAGATTTTTCAAAAACACAGAGAGAATGTGATTTATGTGAACCAACCCTAGGTCTGACTTGTGATGATCCTAATTCAATGTGCACTGAAAATCAAACCCAGGTGATGCCAGGTTCCCCAGTTGGCCAAAGAAATTTGTTGACCCCACCTCTTAGTAATAGTAATGTTCAAGATGAACCTGTGTTAGTCTCTCCTCTGTCGCCAAAGGTTCAGTCAGGTCTACATCATCGCAGTTTTGGCCAGAGTGCTCTTACCTTACTATTGCGTATTGCACACATGACCAATCCAAGCACTCATCTTGTTAACAAGCCTTGCATTCAAGCTTTGCTGGATTATCTGCGGTTGGTGAACAATCCTAACCCCAAGTGTGCACGTATCCTAAATCTTCTGGCAGAAAATGCACTTTGTTTCAGAGATTTAATAGTGCATGGAGCTGTGGTTGCCATTCATCACCAGTTATGCTTCATGAATTGTGAATATCAAGAAAATGCATATCCACAGAAGCTCCATGATCCTGAATCAAATGCCCATTCATCTGAGGAACAGAGATTGCCATCACCCTTCAGAAAAAGATTTGGCAGTCAAAATTCTGAAGACAATGTATTTAGACCAAAGGATAAGATCAACCCTAATGCACTGTACCAGTCCATGTCCTCAGCAACTCAAAGCCATTGTCAGGAAATAGGAAAACATTTATTAAAGATCCTTTCAAACCAAGCACAAACCCTCTGTGGAAAGGGTGAGATTGAAAACTTACTTCTGACAGGATCAAAGGAAGAGCATAAAGAATGTGTGCTTGCTCTGCCACTCCTGTGCAGGTATTTAGTTCCACATTTTGTTTATGTTAAACAACACCCTTGCCTCATCAAAGAGATTTAATTTTGGATTATGTTTGTGTTCATGAACTAAATGTATGTTCACCTTTTGTTGAGACATTTTTAGAAACACTTTCCTGCACACAGGGGCTAGTGACATAAAGCTGTGCCTAGGAATAGCCTTCTTAGAGAATCCTGTGAAAGTAAACGTATGGGTGTTCAGCTAAATGTAATCTAAGGGTCCTTTGCATTTTGTTATTACATGGTATGCCTTTTTCCATACCAGATTACAAATTATTTTCCATATCACTGACATCCTCAGGGAGGCCACTTTAATCAATTAGGCCCTGATTTTCTATATACAGTTACACATACCTATATACATAAATAAAATATGTCCCATTGGGTGTTTTGCTCTTTTGCCCCCCCCCCCCCCCCTCTCTCCTCCTCAGCATGGCCTATTGTACCACATAAACCAGCAAATTGTGTCCACCACGTTTAGTTCTCAAATATAATTTTTTTTGTTTGAAGCACTTGCCCACCTGAAGGAAAACTTACTGCTATTGTTAAATGGCATGAACTCAAATACCACCACAGGATATTTTAGGGAACAAAAAAAACAACAACAACATTTAAAAGCTATGTTGTCATTTTTCTAGGACCACTAAACTGAGACAGCAAATGCTTGTGGAAAGGGAAGGCTTAAAAATGCTGTGTGATCTTTTCAAATCACTCTCTCCAACTGGTGAGACCTTTCCAATTGCAGTGGAATCTGTGATAGTTTTGGCAAATGAGTTACAAGTAATATTCCCTGGTAATGTTACAAGGAAGAAAAGTGAAGGTATTTCTAAAGATCTCACTTCATCAACCATTGAAGAGTCAAACCCAGATGCATCTGATGATCTGCACCAAATGAAAAAGCTGAAAAAGGAGCTCAGCAACATCCAGGCTCTTTCCTCAAGTGATGAGCAAGATTGTTCCTCGTGCCTGTACCACGCAAATTCCTTTGGTCCTCCTGATATTATATTTGTGATGGAAAAGGGGGATAAAGTTGTAGCACACAAGCTACTTATCAAATCAGCCTCTGATGTTTTCACTGCCATGTTGTCAGAACATTTCTTAGAATCAACACAGTCTGAAATCTCTCTTCAAGACATTTCTGAGGATGTCTTTGAATTTGCATTACATCACATGTATGGATGCAAGATCACTCCAAATGAAGAGATCTCTAGTGAAATGATTTCTTCTCAATCATGTTGTGAGGTGTTAAGAAAAAAAGTCATAGAAATTCAAGTGAATGACAATGAATTACAGTTCTATTTGGATCTGTTAACACTTGCTGACAGGTTTTTGTTGGACAGACTGAGAACTCTTTGTGAAAAATTTCTTGTAAATCTTATTGATGCTTCCACAGTGCTGCAAATTTACAATTATGGTTATCGAATTAATTCTCCAAAGTTGTGTTTGCTTTGTCTCACATACCTTCTAACCATTAACCTCTCAAATTTGCCAAACCATCTGTATTTGTTCAAAGAACTGTTCATTAGTAACGAACGAGGACATCTTGCAGAACAATTGTATGAAATACTCCATTCTCATTTAAAATGTTAACGTACAGCCAGTACTGGTACCAGGCAATTTACCTTAGATAATTTATGCACAAGAACCTCACTTAGTAAAAGTGGTATCTCAATCAAACTTGTGTGTTTATCAATGCAGCGCTTCAACATCCTTCCCCCCTGGCATTTGAACTTTTGAAGATTGTTTTGCTCATATGCCCACCCGCTAGGCAAAAATTGCTTTGAAGTACCAGATTTGACAGTTAATTTTTGTAAAAGGTAAAATCAGCGACCATTAGTTTCTATGCTATAACTAAGCAGAAAAACCTAGCCCTTGTAGACCTTTTCCTCTGAGCCATTTGCTAACAAAGTCAACTTATCTATTTAACAAATAGATTCCAAGGTGCCGTGCATCTGTTCAGTAATAGATCACAGATGACGTCAAAATGTGGTAAGAACAAAAAACAGTGGAACATGAGGCGCAGCCGAAATGGATTTTTGATAGATGTAAAGGTGTTCACATCCTTGATGGTTCCCAATTCATATCGATTGATGATTCATCCGTAAGGTTATCATAACTATTTTCTTGTTCGTACAAGCACTCCTAAGTTCAGTTAAAACTGCATGTGACAAACTGCACCATTACAATCTTCCCAAGGAATCATCTTAATGTAATCAGAATCAGGAGACTGGGAGAGTAAACTTGTTGGTGGAATCCACCTACAGCTGTATTAGAAATTATAAATTTGTCTTTACATAAACCCACAATGAGCACTTATTTAAAATATATTTAACAGGATTAATATCTTATAAGTTCAGACTTAATGAGATAATAAATATTTATAGAGTCAAGTAGTTTGAATTTGAAGTGATTGGTATTTCATATGGCAAGCAGAGCAGGTGTTCCATTCACCCCTCAACTCTCAAGATGTGATTGTTAATTCTCTCCCCCTGGATGCTACATGTTTCCTTTTAAATGAGTTACAAGAATTTGGTGTTAGATCAAGATAACTTCTACCTGATTAGTTGAATATTCTCAGTTCCTGTGCTGGATAATGGCTGGATATTATAGGGAGAAGTTATGTGTCAATCACTTCTGGGAGTTTAAGGGTTAACCCAGCAAATGAGTAGGATCAGTGTGCACATGGATCTTGCTCATGATCATTCCAAACATCTACAACGCAGGCTACATTTTAGAGAGAAAATATTATCAGGTCTATGAATTCTCAGGTACAGTTGAGAGTAAAAACATGGGACAGTATTTTAAGTCTTGGTAAAACATCTCCAGCAATGGCTGACAATTTGACTGAGGCTATCCTATCAGCCCTTGTTGCACCAATATTCAAAATCACTATAGGCTTACTTTGCCGCCAGGCAGCATCAGCAAAGCGATATGATGAATACACTTCAACTGAAGATCCTATGATTAAAACTGAATCAGATTCCTGTAATCGCTCTTGAATAAATGACACCATTGGTTTAGGTACTGAGTCACCAAAAAATACAACATGAGGCTTAAGTATGCCACCACAGTTAACACAAGTGGGAACAGCAAAACCCTTGACTTCATCATCTGAGAGAAAGGTGTCTCCATCAGGTGCATGCCCACTTGCAGTAGCCTCCCAAAAGGGATTAAGTTCTTTCATTCTTTGTTGGAGATCGTCCCTCAAAGTCAGCTCTTTACACCCAAGGCAAACAACCCTGAAAGGTTAGAGATTTACTCCTAGTGACAAGGTATGACAAGCTTATAAACATTGTTGACTGCAACTGAGTTGAGTGGAAGGTACTTAAAGTCACTTCCAGGCATTTCACTCACTTCAATCTGAAGTACCAAGGACACATATTTAGGAAAGCAACCCTGACTTCCTATAACTGACTTAATGATGAACTTAGTACTGGTAATAGGACTGAGTGGAGTCCAATTTGGTTTGTAATCATACGAGTGATTAAAAAATTGGACAACCATGCATCAGGAGTGTGACTTGTTTATCTGGAGAAACAATTTTCAAGAAAAGACAAATAGCCAAGTTATGAAAGAAGGGGAAAATTTGCATTAAAATACTGACAAAGGAGGTGTAAATTGCTTAATGGTTGTGATTCGTTTATTAAACTACAACTTTGAATGTAATCAATTGATTTAAACCACAAATTTGAATGTGATTGGCTTATTTAACTGTCTGATAAACAAACTGATAACAACTTAGCAAGTAAATTTGGTGGAAATTAGGAGTTTTTGAAACTAATCACAATTGAGGAAATTGTAATTTTTATGATTAAGTTAATTCTTCAGTGAATTTATTAATAACTGACTAGATATTGACTGACTGCCTGTTTTGACTGGCTGACTGACTGATTGTCTGACTGATTGCTTGATTCAAGCACCTGTTTGACTGACCAACTAGTTGTTTAGATCCAACTGGCTGACAAAGTTACTAACCAACAAAGGGAATCATGGACTCTTTAACTGACTGACCGATTGCCTCTTTGACTGACTGATTGACCAACTGCAATTATTGACCAACGGATAAATTGATCTGTTGGTTGATTGATGTGCTGACTGACTGACTGACTGGTTGATTGCCTAAGTGAATCAGACTGCTAAACAGCCATACACTACCTGTGTGCACAACCATGAAGCTCTGAGATTCTTTGAGAACCAGCTTTGGTGTGCAGAGCGTCGACATTTTGCGTCACCAGCCAATGTATTTTGCCTATTTTCTCTAGCTCTGCCAGGGCAAAATGGCCTCTATTCGGCTCTCTTGTTGAAAACTCATCCCAGCCAACATAGTTCCTTGCCCAGTACCTCTTTCTATTTGCGGCGCTGTGTAGAAAGTCGGCATACTGAATGGGTCGGCTCTCGCTGATTGCATACAAACCAACATCTTCGGAACGATAATCCCTGATCCCAGATTCCGTAGAAATACCCGCTCCGGTTATTACGAAAAGGCGTCGACTGCTCTCAATATGATGGTCGATTTTCCTTACAACTTCTTCAAGTTCTTGATCAGTCCTTTCACATTTGGGTACATAAAGCCTATGGACTGACCTTCGACACGATCGAAACGGCTTTAGATTAAAGAAAAATCTACAAAATATTTTGGAAGTGTGCATGTTCGAGTTATCAATCACGCAACCTATTGTTGTTTTAGAGTGAATTTTACCGGGAGTGCCTGGTAACTAGTGACTCGATAAAAATGGCGACTTTGCCAAGTTGACAATTATTGCGATTGCACCAGCAGTGTGTGATATTATTTATACTGAATGATTCACCACTTTATAGAGTTTCGTCGTTTTACGGGTTTACAGGGGTAGGAGGAAATATTCACATAGGGAACAAGTCGCCTGCGAAGGACTATTGGCATCTACCCAAGTTAGACATCGATAACTACTGTGACTGACTGGTGACTTCGTACATCGCCGTCGCTACCATGTCGAACTCCATGGGAAGCTCAATTGCGAACAATGCGTCTACAAAAGAAGCTATGGTTCTCTTATGTCCTATCCAAAGCCCTAAAGTGGTATGATACTTGTCGAAAATTTTATCTGCGTAAAACAATAATTCTTTGTCATTTGGGACTATTAACTCAGCATGAATTATCTAAGTTAAACTTTGCCACCGTGTAAAATTAAAACCTATTACGGCCCTCCTGAGATTAACTTATTTAGCAGTTTTTGTTTTTTCGCGCCTACGTATCGTAATTTTCTCTTATGCCTCGCTATTTATTTTTCATTTTTCATCATGTTTTAGTTTCATAGGTTTGTTTGTTCACGTAGGAAGAGCTATTTAATATATGTTCCCATAGAAATGATGTTCAAGAAACAATTACGCGCTTCTGATTGGCTGAAAACGAGTGTAACAGGAGTGCAAAGGTGTAACACGAGTGCAAATTACAAATAGCACGTGCATGCTTTCAAAATTTTGTCTGTCTTGCTTTTCTGCAATGTTTTTTCATGTACATCATTAACAAGTAATAACATATATTAAAGTTCACACGGCAACCAGGTGGACAATCAGACATGGTTTGAAGCTACACTGGTTTGCAGATTTAATGAATGTAACCGAAGTTACAATTCATAGACCCAACGTTTCAACACTCCTGTCTAGTGCCTTCATCAGGGGTGATCTAAACGCTGCAACAAGAGGTCCTTTTATATGATCACTAATTAGCGGCCTTTTTTCTGACGAGGTGTAAATAGGCGTCAGGAATAGGCGTCCTATTTGCCATAAAAAGTCTGTAGCCAAAACTTTACTTAGGAGGGCTGATTGTCTACCATCATCACTCGATTTGAAGGCTGAGGAGAGGAAATATGTTTCCAATGTCCTAAAGGCAAATGGCTATACAAAAACTTTTCTCCGTAACTGCCAAAAACCAGTTACAAATAGTAACGCTCTTGATGAAAGGGAACCAGCGACTGGTTTTGCTGTTATTCCCTACATACAGGGTGTTACTGAACCCATCAAGAGAATTTTGAATAGCCACAACGTTAAAGTTGCTCAAAAACCTTTTCAGACTTTGGGGCATATTTTCGCCAAACCTAAGGATCCTGTCACGAAAGAACAACGAACCGACGCCATTTATTCTATTCCTTGCAATGACTGTGATAACGAATACATCGGACAGACCAAACGCCAGTTTGGTACACGGTTAAAAGAGCACCAAAAAGCGGTTTTTCTTTGCAAAAAGGAAAATTCAGCTTTATCGGAGCATACTTGCCTAACCAACCATACAATTGGGTGGGATAATTCTAAAATTATCACCACTAATCGGCGTTACCACCAGCGCCTTTGTTTGGAGGCTTGGCACATAAACTCCGCCCACGCTCCTTTAAATCGTGACGATGGCGGTCTGCTTCCTGATGCCTATTTACACCTCGTCAGAAAAAAGGCTGCTAATTAGTGATCATATAAAAGGACCTCTTGTTGCAGCGTTTAGATCACCCCTGATGAAGGCACTAGACAGGAGTGTCGAAACGTTGGGTCTATGAATTGTAACTTCGGTTACATTCATTAAATCTGCAAACCAGTGTAGCTTCAAACCATGTCTAAGTAATAACATGATTTCTCTTGCAATGTTTGGTGTAATAAGCACTTGTAAATTTTTCAAAGACGACATTTGTACTTGCCCTATCGTACAATTATCACTAGTGCAATTTTGCTGTCTTTGACAAATTCATTGGTGCTCATTTACACTAAATTGCACTTAAAATCATCTTATCACCTATACTAACAGTTAGAGCCTAGGATTGAATTAAAATTTTTCTACAGGGGTTTCTGATTTCTACATAGCCCCATACTATTGTAAATCAAAGCTGTAGTCCTAAAGGCAATCAATGCTTTTTAGCCATTGTTTTCTTTATCCAAGAGCTCCACACATGGTGAAACAAGGGGCTTTGTGGAAATCTTACCATGTACTACATTGAAAGCAGTTTAATTTGAGTTAAGGGGTTAAGTTTCCAAAAAATTTGTGGTGCTATGTCAGTGGAAGAGCATAATAGTATCATCAACTGTGTGAATAATATTGGTTGGCCACTGTTGAGAGTTTCAAAGCTGACATTTCAAGCGTTAGCCCATCATCAGAGCAAATGGTGAAGGGCTTATGCTCAAAACAACAGCTTTGAAACCCATTTACAGTGGCCAGTCTACATTATCAACCCAGTTGATAATACTTAACTACCCTGTTAATTAGAGTTAACTGTCCATGTGTATCACTGATCACTGATCTGATACCTTGCTATGGGTAGAAGGGGGGAGGGGGTAACTTCAGGAACTCTTGTTAAGGACATGCTTCCTGATTCTTGCATCAATCCAAAATATTTTATTTTCCACACCTGTCTCCTGAATTGATGTCTTAAATCTACACATGATTATTCAGACCTGGGTTCTGAAAGTTATAGATGGTTTTAAGTAGTATTATGTGAAGGATCACTAAACTTTCTTTAGTGTTGAACAGAAAGTCGAAGAAATGTGGAGAAAATTGGTAAAACAGTGAACCTCTTTAGTCTAATAATTGCTCAAACAATCATTTTGAGTGATGTGATGTATTTTGATAGACCCACTTTTTTATTTTATAGAAAAAGGAAATTGCTATTACTTACATTGTGACCTCAGGGCTAAGGTTTGTAACTACTTTTTATTTGGTGTGACTTACAGTGTTATCCCTTTCAGGCAGTAAATGGTAAAATTTACTGTCTGTAGTTGACAACTGTTCACCCAAGTGGAGGTTACTAGTGGTAGATGTGTACTGTGGTGTAAAGCGGCAAAGTATATATCCACCACTAGTCACCAACACTGAGGTGCATGGTTGTTGTAGTATAATTTTTTATACTAAAACAGTGAGATAATGTAGCACAAGAAGAATGATTTGAACTCATTCATTCCTGCAATGATTACAATATTTTGAGCACAAATCCTGCAAGAGTTGTAATAGCAAAGGATATTCTGAGTTTCATTAGCCAATCAGAGTGCACCTTCAATGCTATCCACTGTATTAGTATATATACTAATACCACTAATATTACCCCCATAAATTACTTGGAATTCCTGAAACTTCAACTGGTAAAACGGATTGCTGTACCACTTTGAAATTCCTTTTACCTGTTATGCTTAAAAATAGAAAGACGGTGGACTTAAAATGATCGTTCTTGTAGATGTGCAGTAGAGATATCTGAATTTGTTTAGGGCAATGTTGTCCTTATTGATTGCTTCAATGATCTGCCTTTGAAAGAATTCAAATATTTTTATTCAAGAAGATTTAATTAAAACTCATTTCCTGTGGCTCTGACATTTTTTCTTGTAACTTTGCATTTTAAGCATCCTTGGAGCTAGCTCAGTGATCATTTTTTCAGTCTGGAAAAGGATTGTAAGAAGTCCAGAGGTATGTGAAAGTCTTTTATCACTGAGTTGGTCAAAAGACTATCAGGACTTTGAACTGATTTGGACATGTCCATATCCAGCAATGAATTAAATTTAATTATGGGGAAAAGGAAAAAAGCCTCAATTGCTTGGCTTTCATTGCAAAGATAATGTTTGTTACCTCTGTCAGCCTTCTAGGTCAAATGAACAGAACTGAAGGTAAATGCACAACAGAATAAACCAATTTCTGTTTTTTTTTTGTCAGTTAGTGCTCATACACTCAACAAGCTGTTGACATCATTTTTGACAACTGGGAGTGAGAGCATTTCAGAACACATCATTGATACCTTTGCTCAGAATGAAGTTCCTGTAGTATAAACAGAATTTTTTCCAAAATTATGCAAAGGAAAAATCTCTGGTTTTTATCTAATTGGCTGTGCTGATTGCTATTTATTGTGCGGTAGATAATGAGAAAAGGTGGTAACCTAACAGTGTGCAATTGTTAACAAAATGAGATAGAAACAAGCCTGTCTTATTTCTAAGTTTAGAACAACTTGTGGTTTTATACTATAAAACAGTGAGATTGGTTGCTCTCAATTTCTCTCCATTATAATTGATTTGGGGTTTTCCCACACTATCTATCCTGTTATCAAAATCTCAAGCCAATAATCCAGCTAATTGGTAAAATTATGATATTCAATGTTTGTTTCTTCAAAAGTTGATTTTTTTTTTTCATTTTCTAGGTGCACCCTTTGTTTCACTTAGCCTTGGCAGATCTGATTTTAGCTTCTCTGTGGTTTGCTGGGGCTTGTCGTTGGTTTCACGATGACACTTCTGCATGTTTTTTATTAGATGTAATAGGAGAGGTAAGTTGTATAATTTTTGCAAATAGCGTGATCTGACCCCCTGAATCCTAACATAGCAGACAAGTGATGAGAATAAAGAATAATAATTATTTAATATCAATTTAGTAGTCGATCCAACACCAAATTCTCCACATCTTTCATGAGAATGGTAAAGCAGACAGTACAGAGAATTTATTACCAATGAGATCTTGGGAGTGGAAGGGCAAAGGCCAATAAAAAGGTTATTATTTTGACCAGAGTAACTGCAGGCGACATGTTATCAAGTTGCCGGTAGAACTTGGGCAGTCATCGTCTTGTTTTGAAATCAATGCATCAGTATGCATAATCTCCATACTTACTTGATACCTTTCCTAAGGTGCTGAAAAGGAGAATTTGTTTAAAACAATCAAGTAGAGCTTCTTTAGTTGGTGATCATTTCCT